GAATTTTAGTATTATTAATAGCATCATTATTATTATTATTATTATTTGCTCCAGTAATAGATAAAAGTAGTGTAAGATCTATATAGCTTAATTAAGGCGCAGACGATGAAATATACTCAATATATATATATAGTATACACAAACTATACAATATATATATATCATTCCACAACAGTCATAGATTGTAACAAAGTATTAAACCTTTTCATAACCTTCCACAACCATTCCTCCCCCACCCCCCATATTTTTCTATCGTTATGTTGACTACACCAATCTGCCTCTTATATAACCCAAATGTTCTGGAGTTGGAAGACGCACCACCTACCTCCATCTCCCCCGTTACCTCCTCCATCTCCCCCATTCCTATCTCTATCATCAAAAGTAAATAATTCCAATTCTTTAAAAGTTTATTCGCGCTAATTCTTAATATTTGTTTTTCTCCCATGAACCCTTTATGTGGCAAGCTAAGAACCAGTCAGTATATTTTTTGTCTTTTGGTAACTTTAAGTAGAATGGCGGTGGAGGGTAATTAAGCAGTGAGTGAGTGAGTGAGTTCAGATAGATAAGTGCGTGGCAGTGAGAAGTGATACCACCCTCAGTGTCAAGACCTGACTAAATTACTCACAATAGGCAAACTGTACTACAAGCTTCAATAAATTTGTTAAACTAAACTAAGGCATAACTTCAACTCTCTCTCTCTCTCTCTCACCACCCTTCTCCTCTCTCTCTCTCTCTCTCTTTATCACCATCTCTCTCCCCTTCTCCTCCCCCCATCTGTCTTATCACCCCCCCCCACCCACCCTCCCTCATCTTATCGTCTTCTCTGTGTTTATGTCACTCGTATCATTTACTTATCAGACGGATGGGTAGTTCGAGTCATTTAACCAACTCTATAACTTCATTCTGGTTTCTTGATTTAGTGTGATTGGGGTTACAGTCTAGGTTAGGGCCTGTCGTTGTTACTGTCTTCCGTGTTGGAGTTCTTTTTACGCGGTGGGGAATGAGGCGTCGCAGCCCTCCATCATACGTTGCCATGTTTTGTTTTTTTGTCAGTGAAGGTAGATGTTTCTGTTAACACCGTCAGATTTATTTGTTCGCGCCGTCGGATCTATCTGTACACGCTATCACACCACCCCCCACCACCACCACCACACACACACCGGCAAGTCTGAGCTCATACATCAAACACTCGAGACACCACCTTGGTAAATACCTGGTGGGACTGGTTCAAGGAAGTGGATAATACAAAAGAGAAAAAGGTGTGTATCTCTCTCTCTCTCTCTCTCTCTCTCTCTCTCTCTCTCTTAAACCGTAAACACTGTCGAGCGTATGACCTGAACATGATGTGAACTCGTGAACCCGAACAATTTTAGACACTGGTGCATTATTCTAGACATAAATGCTTCGGTTTCACGAGTCTGAAATCTCGGGGTTCGTGGTTCAAGAGGAGAGACGAGACAGGAACTTTTGTGGCTGAGTATTGTTACCTCTTAATTCATAATGATTCGTGTTTACATCAAGACCTATAAGTAAGACAATTTTCTCGTAATTCGTAATAACTAATGATCCATCAGGTAGTTTATAACTTTACAGACTTATATAAGTAGTTGTGGTTGAAGGGAGTCAGGCTATAGTCCAGTAGCCTGACGGGGTAGCCTGACTCACTCCCTCCTCTTTGTATATACCGCACATTACCATACCGCTATTATCCCCACCTCTCCCCCCACCATATTACCTCCCCACCTCCCCCACAATATCTCTCTCCCTCCCAAACACCTCCACTTCGCTATACCTCTACTTTTCCTCACCCCATCAATACAGTACACCTCACCTCACCTCCCCCCCATCCGCTCACCAAGAATTCACCTTCCTCCCCCCACCCCCCTTTATTTCTCCCACCTTCCCCTTCCATAATATATCTGTAACCGCCCAATCAGCCACTGTGGGATAATGAGACCCTTGCACGTAGGACTTGATTGTTCTTTATTCGGTCAAAACCTGCAGAGTACAAATTACATATGTTAAGTATAATTAATTCATTCGTACGTTCCTTCACTATTAACGACTACATATGATATTTATGAGTAGAGTGGGGTGTTAAACCATATAAAAACTTAGGTGTTTCGGGTCTAATGTAGGACTTATAAGCTCCCTGACTTGTTAGCTTACTGGACGGCTAGAGACTATCTTCTGAACCCCACAGGGAGCGAATCAGCCCGAGGCGAGGACCATCTGTTTCACATTTAACACTTCAGCAAAGTTCGTTGTCAACACTCCCTCTGTCTCTCTCCTTTCTCTCTTTCTCTCTCTTCTAGTTATCCTACTGTGGCGGTAACAATATCACCCCCCCCTTCACCCTCTCTCTCCTTGACCCCTTCACAAATCCCTCTCATACCTACCCCCCCCCGCCCTACCCTCGCCCTCACACCAGTATTACTACATCCAGGTGCAAGAAAACAGGTTTGAGTTTATTTATGGTTGTAGGTGTAAGAGGTCGCTTACAGGGGGAGCTGCCATTCCCCAGCGGCCAAACGACCACTTAAAAGCTGTGCACATCATCAGTGCTGTTGCTTTATGACCACAACGTGACGGCTGTGTGTGTGTAATAATAATAATAATAATTAACGGTTTATTGAAAGAGCTTGGCAGCCAGAAGGCTGAAAATATACAGTTACATATTTGGGGAATGGGTTACGAATTACAAATAATATACAAGTGACATAAGTGACACAAATAAGACATATAGTAACTTAGATGGGGATCAGCTCAAACTACAGTTCATTTCAACATAGTGACAGTGTAGGGAGCAGTGTTTATTGGGAGTGAATACACTGATTTATTACATGTTATTGATAATTTTTACAATGGTTGGGACTGGGCTGTTCTTATAGCGATCAGTTCGTGCACGTATGGGCTGGATGCGGTTGTGGTGTCGAACAGCAATTCTCGGACAGGGGATCTCAGGTGGTAGTAGGGGCCGGTGTCGGGGATGGTGTAGAAGCTTCTTACCAAATTTGCAGATGAGGCCGTGGTGATGGTCAGTGAGAGTCGAAAGGGTCAGTGTGTTGAGCGCTTCTTGATATGTGGAGTAGGAAGGGGAGAGAATAATCTTGCATGCCCTCTTTTGCACTTTTTCTAGGTGTTTACGTTGTGTGGCATTTAGGGAGGAAGACCAGGTGGGGGAGGCATAGGTGAGCTTGGGAAGTATGAATGTTGTGTATACACTGAGGAGCTCGTGTGCGGGAACTCCGAGGGACTTGAGTCGGCGGAGGAGGTGGAGACGGAAACTGGAGGATTTGACAACTTCACTGACGTGTGGTTTCCAATTTAGTTTGTTGTCTATGGTGACGCCGAGGAGCTTCGTGGAATCTACAACCTGGAGTGTGTTCGGACCTAGGGTAATGGAAGGAGGTGGGACAATGTCGGAGGAGAGGTTGATGTGCATAACCATGGTCTTGGTATGGTTGATGGTGACATGGTTGTTGGTGGCCCAGTTTTGGAGACTGGTCAATAAATCCTGAAGGGCGGTATAGTTGGGAGCAGAATTGTTGACGCTGATCCCAATGGTGGAGTCGTCGACATATTTCCAGCGAGCAGGGGTTTCTCTTAGGGCATCATTGATGAGCATAAGGAAGCAGAGTGGTCCCATCTTGGTGCCTTGGGGGACGCCACAGGTGAGTGACTGAAAGGTGGAGACAGCCCCTCGGAAGCGTACAGCTTGGCGTCGGTCACTGAGGAAGTCTGTAAGCCATGTGTGTGTGTGTGTGTGTGTGTGTGTGTGTGCATGTAATCTCGAACCCAAACATCATTCCCACCTCTCCCTTAACCGTAACTACCCTCATCATCATTACCACTAATACTGCCATCACCTTCGTCACTAGTACCACTACCACCACCACTACTACTTTCTTTCTTTTTTTCTTTTTTAACGTGGCCACCAGCCTCCCCCAATAGCCACACCTTCGCCGCCATTTTATTACCTCAATATTAAATATCCTAATACATAAGTAGCTATCCTAGCTGTGTTGAGTTAGTTGAGCCGCAGATCTATGGGGCATTCAGTGACTGTTGCCTCATAGTCAATATCTGCAGCTGTTGTCGGCTTTGGGGCCGATGCTCTCGTTCCCCTGAGGCAGAGCAAAGCCGACAGGAGAGAGGACAGTCGACATCTCATCCAGGCTGTAACATAACTTCTAGGCTGCTGCTTCTGTTCGGGTAGCACCTCCGCGAGTCTGGCATAGAAACATCTTGCACTTGGTCCCATCCCACCAGAGGTTGTGAACACTAGGGGAGTCAAGCTGCCTTGATCAAAGTTCTGAATTCTCTCCCCGTATGCCCTTATCTTGTCGTTCTCGTTCCTCCTGTGTGCAGCATCGAGAGCTAAGTTACGGTGACATGCGGCCATGGGATCAAAAATCCTGATGTCGAAGAAGGCTCGCTGTCCCTGTGTCCAGAATCCTCGAGCACTGACGTCAACACGGGCTTCGTTAGATGTGTTTGAAGTCCTATGTTGGAAAATCTCACAGTCCAATGGAAGGAGGGTCGGTTCTACTCTGACATCACGGCAGATTTCCTTCAACATATTTGCTGAGAGATCCCTTACTTCATCATGCCTCATGCATATGAAGCCCCCTTTCTTGCACACCATGGCGTGATCGACGTCATAGACTACTACTGTTATCGCCACTACCACTACCTCCATCACTAACGCTACTACTACTACTACTACAACAACCACCACCACTATACTACTACTACTACTACCACCACCACCACCGCTATACTACTACTACCACCACTATACTACTACTACTACCACCACCACCACTACCTCCGTCACTGCCGCTACTACTATTACTACTGCTATTGTCATCACCACCACCACCACTACCTCCATCACTACCACTACTACTACAGTAGGTTGGGGTCTAACTGGACTTGGGGCCTATTAGTTCAGAAGCCCCTAAAACTAACATGTAACCACTGTGTCTCCTCCCCAGGTAGTGAAGGCCTCGCTCTCCACACAGTGTAAGTGCCATGGTGTGTCCGGGTCCTGCAACATCAAGACGTGCTGGAAGGCGCTCCCTAACTTTATCGAGGTGAGTTGACTAAACCTATAGGTGCAACTCTTGGTTTTCTTGGTGTGATGGTGGGGGAGTTGGAGTTAAGGGGAGAGAGAGAGAGTAAAATCTACACTCACATGTTAAAGAGAGAGAGAGAGAGAGAGAGAGAGAGAGAGAGAGAGAGAGAGAGAGAGAGAGAGACCATCTTACATAATACGCTTTAGTCTGTCTTCTAGGAAATCTATTGATCAAGGTGTGGTGGTCCACTACCAGATTGACCCAAAAAGTTAGTGTCCCGCTCTGCAGCTGTTCCCGAAATCAATGTTGCAAGAAGAACATATTCAGCTTCACTCGCTATCATGTGACATAATTATTAACAAAGGGGAAAAGGGGGAAGGAGAGGGGGGGGCGTTTTCGTTCAATGGCGCGCGTCACATTTGTTATATCATTTTGGCACCGCGTCTGATTTTCATTCAGGGAAACGGTTAGGTTAGGTTAGGTTAGATTTGATTACATTGTGTTAACATAAGTAAAGCTAGATTCAATATGGTTAGGTTAGCTAATTTGTCCTAACATAGTCAATGGTTTGGTTTGGTTAGGATATGGTTAGGTTGGGTTAATTTCTTATCGCAGTGATTACTAATAATTCTAGGACATTTTGAGGATTACGTGAAATCCTTAGTTGCAGAGTGAGGCGTCAATAAGAAATCCAGTGTGAAAGAGCCTAGCCAAAGGAAGCCTACTGTTCTTCTACAACACTCTACTCTCATCTACCTCTTTTGAAGTTATTACTGACCAAACTGATGCTGTTCAAGTAGTGATCACCTCAACAGATTCAATCAACGGGTCAGGTGAACAAACTTTCCTCAACCAGAGACGAACAACAAATACAAATGGCACCTGGCAAGAATATTATGTCGTTGTTGTTCTTGTTATTACATGGTTCTGAATTTGGTAACACACACACACACACACACACACACACACACACACACACACACACACACACACACGAGAACCCCCTCTCTGTATCCCACATGTTTTACTTGGAAGGGTCGCCTCTCGCCGTCGTCCATTAAAAAAACTCTTTAGTATACATGAAAGGGCGCTAAAAACTGGCCTGACGTCGGAGCAAAATATCGAATTAATTCTCAATTATTTCTGCCACACCATAAACTATACCCCCACCATGTAGGGAGAGTTACACCACACACCAGCTAGGGAGAGTTACACCACACATCAGCTAGGGAGAGTTACACCACACATCAGCTAGGGAGAGTTACACCACACACCAGCTAGGGAGAGTTACATCACACACCAGCTAGGGAGAGTTACATCACACACCAGCTAGGGAGAGTTACATCACACACCAGGTAGGGAGAGTTACATCACACACCAGGTAGGGAGAGTTACATCACACACCAGCTAGGGAGAGTTACATCACACCAGCTAGGGAGAGTTACACCATACACCAGCTAGGAAGAGTTACATCACACATCAGCTAGGGAGAGTTACACCACACATCAGCTAGGGAGTGTTACACCACACATCAGCTAGGGAGAGTTACATCACACACCAGGTAGGGAGAGTTACATCACACACCAGCTAGGGAGAGTTACACCACACACCAGGTAGGGAGAGTTACACCACACACCAGCTAGGGAGAGTTACACCACACACCAGGTAGGGAGAGTTACACCACACACCAGCTAGGGAGAGTTACACCACACACCAGCTAGGGAGAGTTACACCACACACCAGCTAGGGAGAGTTACATCACACACCAGGTAGGGAGAGTTACACCATACACCAGCTAGGAAGAGTTACATCACACACCAGCTAGGGAGAGTTACATCACACACCAGCTAGGGAGAGTTACATCACACACCAGGTAGGGAGAGTTACACCACACACCAGGTAGGGAGAGTTACACCACACACCATTGTAGGGGAGAGTTAGACACACACCAGGTAGGGAGAGTTTACATCACACATCAGCTAGGGAGAGTTACACCACACACCAGGTAGGAGAGAGAGTTACATCACACATCAGCTAGGGAGAGTTACAACACACACTCAGCTAGGGAGAGTTACACCACACACTGTGCTAGGGAGAGTTAAGGCACACACCAGCTAGGAGAAAGCTACACCATACACCAGCTAGGAGAGTTACACCACACACTGTGTAGGAGAGTTACATCACACACCAGCTAGGTAGGAGTTTAAGAACACACCAGCTAGGAGAGTTACACCACACACCAGCTAGGGAGAGTTACACCACACACCAAAGCTAGGGGAGAGTTACACACATCAGCTAGGGAGAGTTACACCACATCAGCTAGGGAGAGTTACACCACAACACCAGCTAGGGAGAGCACCACACACCAGCTAGGGAGAGTTGTCACATCAGCTAGGGGAGAGTTACATCACACACCAGGTAGGGAGAGTTACATCACACACCAGCTAGGGAGAGTTACATCACACCAGCTAGGGAGAGTTACACCATACACCAGCTAGGAAGAGTTACATCACACATCAGCTAGGGAGAGTTACACCACACATCAGCTAGGGAGTGTTACACCACACATCAGCTAGGGAGAGTTACATCACACACCAGGTAGGGAGAGTTACATCACACACCAGCTAGGGAGAGTTACACCACACACCAGCTAGGAGAGTTACACTACATCAGCTAGGAGAGTTACATCACACACATCAGCTAGGAGAGTTACATCACACATCAGCTAGGGAGAGTTATACCCACACATCAGCTAGGGAGAGTTAACACCACACCAGCTAGGGAGAGTTACATCACACACCAGCTAGAGAAGCACCACACATCAGCTAGGGAGAGTTACACCACACCAGCTAGAGAGCATCACACACCAGCTAGGAGAGTTACATCACACACCAGCTAGGGAGAGTTACATCACACATCAGCTAGGGAGAGTTACCCACATCAGCTAGAGAGTTACATCACACATCAGCTAGGGAGAGTTACACCACACAGCTAGGGAGAGTTACATCACACACCAGCTAGGGAGAGTTACATCACACACCAGCTAGGGAGAGTTACATCACACACCAGCTAGGGAGAGTTAAGTACACACAATTGTGTAGGGAGAGTTACATCACACACCAGGTAGGGAGAGTTACACCACACACCAGCTAGGGAGAGTTACACCACACACCAGGTAGGGAGAGTTACACCACACACCAGCTAGGGAGAGTTACACCACACACCAGGTAGGGAGAGTTACACCACACACCAGCTAGGGAGAGTTACACCACACACCAGCTAGGGAGAGTTACACCACACACCAGCTAGGGAGAGTTACATCACACACCAGGTAGGGAGAGTTACACCATACACCAGCTAGGAAGAGTTACATCACACACCAGCTAGGGAGAGTTACATCACACACCAGCTAGGGAGAGTTACATCACACACCAGGTAGGGAGAGTTACACCACACACCAGGTAGGGAGAGTTACACCACACACCAGGTAGGGGAGACTTACATCACACACCTAGGAGAGTTACATCACACACCAGGTAGGGAGAGAGTTACTAGGTAGGAGAGTTACATCACACCAGGTAGGGAGAGTTACACCACACACCAGCTAGGGAGAGTTACACCACACACCAGGTAGGGAGAGTTACACCACACACCAGCTAGGGAGAGTTACACCACACACCAGGTAGGGAGAGTTACACCACACACCAGCTAGGGAGAGTTACATCACACACCAGCTAGGGAGAGTTACACCACACACCAGCTAGGAGAGTTACATCACACACCAGCTAGGAGAGTTACATCACACACCAGGTAGGGAGAGTTACATCACACACCAGCTAGGGAGAGTTACACCACACACCAGCTAGGGAGAGTTACACCACACATCAGCTAGGGAGAGTTACATCACACACCAGGTAGGGAGAGTTACATCACACACCAGCTAGGGAGACTTACAAGCTCTGGTACACTCAGCCAACTCCCAGCCATCTCAGCCAACACCCAGTCATCTCAGCCAACACCCAGCCATCTCAGCTAACACCCAGCCATCTCAGCTAACACCCAGTCAAACTCAACCAAGAAAAGAAATATACCGGTATCTGCTGGGCATCTGCTCAAAACACTGTCCACTTGAAATCAAAATACACCCACAGCAGTCTCTCTCTCTCTCTCTCTCTCTCTCTCTCTCTCTCTCTCTCTCTCACATAAAAAAGAGAACGGTGTGACTCATCTACCCACCATAAAGGAGGGCCCATCAGATAAAACCCACGTCAACCTGTACCCGACCTAACACAACAGGAGACCCACATGTACACAGCGGGAGAGAGGAGGTGTTACGGGGAGTGATGTGTATGAAGCTATGGTTATCTCTTAAAGCTTGTCCGGGTCGTCAGGTCTAGAAATAAACACACCACATACAATCAATGTTAGTCAGTCAGTCTCTCTCTCTCTCTCTCACACACAATGCTGGCCGGTCCACTTGTGCAATATGTCGCTAAAAACATATATACAGTATAGGGTACACATGGTGTGCTCTGGAGGCAATTTTCACACACACATAAAAACTTATGGGAACTCGCTTATGTGTATGTGCATGTATGTGTGTGTGTGTGTGTGTGTGTGTGTGTGTGTGTGTGTGTGTGTGTAATAATAATAATAATAATAATAATAATAATAATAATATTAAAAAGAGACACGATGATCCTCCCCATACTGGCCAGATATTTTGTAAAAAACATTGATTATGTGTTAAAGGAATATCCTTCCTTCCTTAGGCTTTAGTAAGCCCCTTTATAATATTTATACTATATTTACTTGTCACACTTGCCAGATGCTTCTGGTGTCATTGTACAGGGGTACCTAGTGACAGCACTAGGATCCCGCTTCCTCTATCAAGGAATAAACAATTGAAATTGAAAAAAAATTGAATAATAATAATAATAATAATAATAATAATAATAATAATAATAATAATAATAATAATAATAATAATAACAACGGTTTATTGAAAGAGCATGGCAGCCGGAAAGCTGAAAATATGCAGTTACATAATTGGGGAATGTGTGTGTGTGTGTGTGTGTGTGTGTGTGTGTGTGTGTGTGTGTGTGTGTGTGTGTGTGTGTGAATAATATTAATATGGATGTGTTCTTCATCTTCCTCTCTCCTCTCTATCTCTTTCGTTCTCTCCTTATTTCCTCGTCTCTATTGAGGATCCTGCCAGTCATCCCTCTCCTCCTGCAAGTAATCAAATGAGTCCTAATCCTATAAGCTCCAACGCAATTTAACCAAACCTAATCTAACCCAACCCAACTCAACCTAACCTATCCTAACCCCACCCCCAAGTAGCGTCAGGGTGAGTAATCTGGAGTTGACTGAGATAACTTGGAAGTGCTCTACAATGCCTAAATGATCCTCTTCATGTGTTCCCTCAGACCTGATAGGACCTGGGAACGTTTTATTTCTATTTTCATGACCTGTACTTCACCCAGTTAAGTAGTGCCAGCAGCAGAGTGATATTGTTGTCGTCCGCAGGCTGGGGAGCGGCTATACCGAGGCTACCTATCCGGGGTGGAGGTAAGGGAGGTGTCGGCGGGTCCTCGCCTCCGTCTGCTGCCCGCCAGTCCCGCCGTCTCCCGATTCTCACGAGACGACCTCATCTACGTCACCAAGTCCCCGGATTACTGCCACCCGGAGCCTCGCGTTGGTTCCCTTGGCACTGGCGGACGGTAAGTGACGGACGAGAGAGAGAGAGAGAGAGAGAGAGAGTCGACTCCCTAGGCACGCTACCACAACCTTGGCCTCATAAGTCATGCCATGGGACTCTGAACACACCATTAACACCATTAAGTCATCGTATTCAAGAGCTTAAGTCATCACACTCAAGACGTTAAGTCATCGTGCTCAAAGGGTTAAGTCATCTTACTCAAAGACCTAAGTCATCGTAATCAAAGGGTTAAGATAACTAACGGAAAGGGTTAATTAACTGCACCCAAATACTATACTATATAGCACTGGAGGGGTGAAGGGCAAAAAAATAATAATTACCGTGTTTGAGAGACTCCGACCGTCCCAAAACTCGTGGGTGGAGGATCGAAGCAGCAAATGAGTTTTCAGAAGCACCTTATGAAACAGCGAGACATAAATACCACGAGTATTAAGTTATGTCTCCCAAAAGTTAAACTCCTTTCTCGTGAAGATTTAAAAAAAAAAATATGATTGGATTATAATTTTTCAAGGTAAATTTACACCATCGTGAACACCTCCCCCAAAAAAAAAAAATGTATTATTATATTTTTAAACTGGTGTTACTTATAGTCGTGAGCGTCTTTGATTGGGGCTTCCAGTAAAAAAAAAAACTAATTTCTCTTCGGTCACGTAAGACAAATATGAGCTCCCCCTCCACGGGTAATATTAGTGAACATAAAACCACAAAGCGCGCCGCCACATTAAGGGTCCCCCATTCCACCCTCTCACATCTATAAGCTGCTCCAGGAGGTGAAGTACATTATTATTATTATTATTATTATTATTATTATTATTATTATTATTATTATTTATTATTATTATTTATTATTATTATTATTATTATTATTATTATTATTATTATTATTATTATTTATTATTATTATTATTATTATTATTATTATTATTTATTATTTATTATTATTATTATTATTATTATTATTATTATTATTATTATTATTATTATTTATTATTATTATTATTATTTATTATTATTATTATTATTATTATTATTGACCTACCCAGTTTTGCAGTGAGTTCTTATTTTTCATTAGTTAATTTACGTAAGAAATGTATTGTATAGCTATATTCGCCCCCTCAGTTTATTTTACCTGATAATTAAACACCGTAACGTTACCTGGGGAAGGGAGAGGGGGGGGGGACGTTGCTAGGTTAGGTTAGCTTTAGGTTGGTGTATCTGAAGATAAAATAACCTGGGGTGGCTAACATTATCCGAGGAATTTGTCGGTGGCAGGTGTGAGCAAACAAGGACATTAAGCATTGTTAATTAGCGTGGACTGGCCTTATACGTTTATCGGTTTGTATCTATCATCACCCGAGGAGGAAAAAAAAAACAAAAAAAAAACAAGTCACCCACACCAGAATTTCGATAACGAGAAGCTTACATGTAAATTACCTGGCCATCAGCGTCAACCAGTGTACCAGTAGAGTGATTTATGTTTCATTTCTTCCTCCAAGTTTGGTTGTTGTTGTTGTTTTTTTCCCCGCGTCCTTTGATACCGCTCACCCAGGCAAATTATTTACTTCTCCGGTAGGTAACTCACTGGAAATTATTTATAAACGTATATACCGCCCCCCGTGAGGTATATATTATAATGAGATATTTGCATGTACTTAACTTTGATCTGTGTGTGTGTGTGTGTGTGTGTGTGTGTGTGTGTGCTTTACAACACGCTAGGAAGAATAACGATGATAATTAGACCCCAGTAAATCACGTCTCAACAAGCTGCCTGATATAACCATCTGGGACTAGGAGGCGGCGTTCTTTTTTTTTTTGGAGGGGGGGTGACCTTCAAGGTGGCCCAAAGGTGTAGTTAGTTCATTTACCTCTGAACCTAACCTAACTTAAACTTATATAACAAATTCCTGTGCTGATTTAAAGATTAAGTTTAGAAGTTCAAAGCTGGTGTGGCACACACACACACACACACATATGGTGATTTTACTGAACAAATATCTATATATGCATTTAATTAGACCAAAACAGGTCCCTTGGCTTATCCTTGGTTGAATCAACTTACTGGTTGTCAATTACCAGACCATTATTTTGGGCTGTAAACACAGTAAAAAAAAAGTATCTTTACAAATTAGTGTGCGACAATAATGACACAACGGACGAAGGATTTTGACAACCCTACCGATACAACAGGAGTCACAGTGTTCATTTTGTGAAATTATTGGAACCCAACCGAAGATAATGTTTTTTTTATTGTCTTGTGAACATACTGAACCAATATGAACCTATTTGGCGGTTTTACTGATTAAATGCCTATCTATACAACACACCATTGATCATCTAACCCTCACCCATTCCCCTTTCCTTTTCCCCCGACAGGCGCTGCAACGCTACGTCACGGGGTGTTGATGGGTGCAGCGTGATGTGCTGCGGGCGTGGGTACACCTCCCATTCTCATCGCACTCACCTCCGCTGCCACTGCAAATACCACTGGTGCTGTTACGTCACCTGCCAGACCTGTGCTGTGCGGCAGGAAATCCACACCTGCAATTGACTTCACTTCACGCCTCCAAAACTGGCTTCATTTGCACCCCCCCCCCCCTCGTCCATATTATAATGTCGTTCACACCTGTATTTGACTTCATTCACACCTGTCTTTGTCTACAGCCTCGCTCACAACTGATGCCATTCATACCTGTCCCCGTTCACAAGTGACGTCGTTCACATCTGTCTTCCTCTTCCTCATGTCATTTATATACGTCATCGCGCACAACTGATGTCATTCACCCACGGCCAATGTTCCTCACAGCTCCTACGTCACCTGCCAGGCCTGCATAGAGTGGTATGATGTCCACACCTGTACAAGAGTTATGTGTCACAGCTGACCTCACTCAGAGTCCATTTCACTAATAACTGTTCCGACTCACAGCTGATGTTATTCACACTTTTAACTGACTTCATTCGCACCTGCAAAAGACTTTAATCACACTAGCACATAAGAATGGTCTTGCTCAAAGCTGTCGTCGCTAAGAGCTGTTATGACTCACAGTTGATGTCATTCACACTTTTAATTGACTTCATATACATCTGAAGTCCTATTCACAGCTGATTTAAGTCTTGGGTGATGTCATGCACACTTGTAATTGACTTTTTAACACCTGGTCTCACAGCTAACGTTGCTATTAGCTGATGTCGTTCACAACCAACGTCTCTCATATGAAAACGTCACTCAAATCTCGTCACACAAGACTTATCATAGTTGACATCACTCACATCTTAAAAGACTCACTACTACCTGTAAATGTCACTAAAATAATAAATTTGCTCAAAACTGACCCCTCGCCTTCTGAAAAACGTCAAACAACTCAAGTCACTCAGTTAAAAAACTTTCCCATAACTTATGTCACTCAAAACAATCCTCACAACTGACACCATCATAAGTGATGTCATTACCTGTGCCCCCCCCCCTCAGGCACACCGCGAGGCAGCCTAAGGGTATTTATAAAGAATCAGTCAGTCAGTCAGTCAGTCAGTCAGTCACGTTAGCTAATTAATCCGTCCCCGTGGAAAACTCTGCGGACATGCCCACTACAGTTTCACTCCTTTTTCTTCACTCACAAGTTCATCTGAGTACATCACAGCCCACATCCTTTGGTAGTGATCCCATGACAGTGTTGGTATATAAGATCAAAGTTTAAGGTTATCATACATCAAGGGAGGTCAAAGGTCTAGTTATTTTGGGGTATATCGCCGTCCGTTTTTGGTCTCTCTCTCTCTTCCTCTACCTCTACTTCTACTTATCCATCAATCCGTCCATCTAGGTGTTACGATTTTTGGGGCACTTTTAGGCTGAGTCAGTAGTGATCGTTTGGTACTACGCGTGTGTCCTCTATCTCAAGACAAGAATCTCCAGATTTTATTTAGTCATAATGTACAAACTTCGCAATAATAAACTTATAATTAAATATGTATTGAGTATTGGATTTTCCTCCGACATACGTTATTGTGTGATGGCTCTGATGACAGGGGTTAACTATAGCTACTATGGGGCAACGCAAACCGCCTATAGTTACTGGCACATAATGAGCTATAGGTAAAATATAGATGTAAGGACTGAGACAAATGACCCGTCGGGTAGGTTATGTAAACGTAAGCAATGGGATCACCTGAGGTTTATTTCACCTCAAGATTAACAACCCTAACTCTAACCTAACATAGCCTAATGTAAAGTATCCTAAACTAACGTAACTTAACCTAACCTAACTGGCATTTGTTCTCTTGTCTTCCCAGCGAACTCGGAGGATGGAACGTAGACTAAAAACACACACACACACACACACACACACACACACACACACACACACACACACACACACACACACACAGAACAATCCAAAATCCGTATCGTGCCAACTTTGAACTCATGATTATGGATTTTTAAGTAAAGAGGGAGATACACGAAGGAAAATGTATAATTAAAAATGGTTGACATTAAATCCAAATGGGTACACTGACCAGAGTGGGTGGTGTGGACCTGACGCACTGGATAAATTACCCCAACCATTCTATCATATATGGCATTAGACGCTAACTACCATATAGATATTCATTCCATTTTGTCATTATTTTTATTTTAATAATTTTGTATCTAAATACCTATTATAAAGGGATATTACCACACAGTGATAGTCTTCAAGAATAGTTATAACCGGGTACGTTTACTTGTAATGTTATCTGTCCAGCCCTGACCGAATATGTCATTTACGAGCAAGAGCAAAACACTTCCCTTACTCTTTTTTTACTTTTATCCTCTTCACCACTGATCGGCTCGTTAACCGCTTGGGTGATCGGTCACGTCTCTGTTACGCAATGTTGGCAAGTACTGGGCATGTACTGGCTCCTGAATGTACACTCGCACCAAAAAGTATTGGTGCTGGATGTGATCGACGACTTCCGAAACGATACGTATACACTGTGATGTGTCGGGAAGGTTGGTAAGTGTATCCTCATAACCCCTCCACTAGGTGTTGCCATATGGCTGACAATCAGTGTGTTTGTTTCCTCTTTTCGGATTGTTGCTTTGTGTCGACTGAATGATGAGCGAGGGTTCGGTCTCGGTGAACGTGGGTATAAAACAGAGGCAATATGAAGCAGTAGAGATCTACACATGCCAGACGACATGGAAACCTCAGAGGGAACACGAGGAGCTATTATTGCCCTTCATAACGAAGGGTTCGGCGTCACAGATATTAGCCGGCGGGCTGGTGTCCACAGGAACACCGCTGCACGATGGATTCGGCGATACCTCGAAACTGGTGCTACAGACGACAGGTCTCGGAGCGGCCGTCCACGCTGCACCACCCCTCAGGACCACCAGGTTGAGTGCTTTATTTGGTAACATAAATTAATGTGGCAATATTCACAAGTATCACAAATAATTTTGTTAACAGGGAGCTCCTCATATTTCATACTGTCTATTTATAACAGTTTGTTTCACTTGACCAGGCCATAGTAGCTGCTCAGCAGGATTACAGGGCTGCCAACATACGGCTGGAACAACTCGCCTTTCCCAATACCTATCGTCACAGGTCTCAAATTGTTCACACTACAGTATGCACCGATACTTTTTGTTGCGAGTGTACCTGAACCTACTCCAGTCAAGCCACATCCTGCCTGGTGTCCCGTCTCGTGGAGGTTAAACTTAGCTTTCAGGTATAACAGGAGTGAGGCTGTATGATCCAGAGTAGTCAGGATTCAGGTAATGGACTACTTATTATAACAGTACTGTGTTGTTACCAATTATAAACATACCCGTAATTCAATCATTAATTCAACAAAGAAAATAAATGGTACAAAATGAAATCACAAGAGAAAATTGAATCAAATCATTGGGTAACTTAATAAATTTCATCACTTTTTTTTCCAAAGAAATGCAGTATTATATATTTAATTGAACGAACGACGCACATTAACCACTTCGTCTACCCAGCCTTACCGGAAGTTACCGCTTGGGCTAGCCTGTACTTGAAGAGCTCTGGCGATGGAGCTTAAGCTTTAAGGCTACCAAGGATTTAGCACTAGACAGATACAGTAGATATTCAATACCGGGTATCATCAGGCAAGTTCATATTAGTTCAGTATATATAAAAGCAGTGCAGGGAGAAAACGTGGCCCAATTAAGTCATTTTAACCAAGGATACACTAAATAAAATGTCATTCAAATCTTATTTCCATTTGGGGTCAACACAGGATATACCACACCGTCGACAGAGCCCTGTACCCAAGGGTGCGTTTACTTGGCCAATTTGTTTGCTACGTATCGCCCGGAATTGCTGAAGTGCACGCTGGGATAATTATACTATTTTTCTATGTGCCTAGACACTGGAAGCAATTAACAATGGTAAAAAGTAAGGCAATTTTATCAAAGACAGCCGACAAAGCTATCAGATGCTTATTTCCAAGAGGTTCCATTTTTAGGCTACGTAATTTCCAGCGGCGGATCTAGACATCAAACACTTACAGACATTTACAGACATTTACTAACCAAAAAGTTAAATGTTCAAACATTATATTTTCGACAATACAATAAGATTCTGTTAATTATATTGTTGATGCTCTTACGTTCACTAGTAATTCTGAAGAGCGAATCGTTATCAATACCATATGCAATAAATAAAGTGCTTATAAAAACTTAGGAACGGTCAACATTGACATAAGTAGGTTTACGACCCACCTCTGTTCCTTTTGGTGATGTTGGAACAATTAAGAGCTTCATAAAATTTTCAAAGGTTTGTTTAGCGTTTCTCCAAACAAAAATTTATATTTTCGAAATTAGAATGTAAAACTACGTCAGATTAATGTTTTTATTTTTTAATAATGTAGTTCATCAAACCGAAAATTTCTAAATAACTTAAGTTCTATGGAAGAATTTAACCCTTAAACGATGAAGGGATTCACGCCCAGAGTTTTTAACACCTTCTTCCGTTGGAGAGGGTCGTCGTGTGTTTCAACCCCGAGTTAAAAAAAAAAATAGTCCAAAATTATAAATTAATTTTATTGGAATTAGTTAATTTTACAGCCACACCACCCCGTCAAGTGCTGGACTGCGATGTCCTTCGGGGCTTTTTTTTTTTTTTACGGGTTGAAACACGACGACCGGGTGTTAAAAACTCCGGCGTAAACCACTGTCCACAAGAGTTCAACCATCATGGTCGAAAGGTCAAATGCTTGAATGTCTCAAGTTAGTAAACACACAATTCAAGCTCAGTTTCTACACTGTTCAGCTTTTGAAAATAAGTTGCTTTATTTTATGTCCATGAAGAACACATTTAATGCACCCGGTAGATTCTGAAAACTAGGTTGTTTATAATTGTTTGTCTCGTTTCTATTTTGTTTGAATTATTCAATTTACACAAGATTGGCTATAAGCTAGAATACTATTTCGTGTTTATGTGTTCCACATCCCGAGTAAAGTAGCTTAAGACTAGTAAAGCTACTGGACTGAGATACTTTCATTTCAATTTTGATAATGGCGTAGCAATGTTAGTGAATGGAGGTTGGGCAAGTACGAAATAATCGCCGTCCCCTTTAGTCGAGTGGTTGCTAAAAACGTATAAAGAATACGCATCAAATGATGACAAAACCTAAATTACATAATCGTGGGATACATAATACATCTTGGAGTAAAAAAAAAGGGGTTCAAGGCATGACACGAAGAGTACTCACCATCACTGTACCGCTTGTTGTGGTAGACGAAAATCCTGTAACTGAATTTTCACCATAGCTATCCTGTGCTTCATTCAAAGTCACAAAAACACTCGGGTACACTACTTCGGTTCACTTGATATCTCGCCTTGTCAACAACCAAACTCTGTTGTCACACTCCTGTGGTTGTGTCACGTGAAGTTAACAGCCAAGTAATATCAAAGCTAAAAACACAAATACAATTTATCACTTAAGAATGTGGTCTACATACACCTTGTCAATATTGCGTGATTCCACCGGTGAAATAAACTTAGATACTACACAATAAAAGCAATATTTAAGTTGTTTTCTGTTCAAACTCAGTTGTCTCTTGCAGCCATCAAGAGGTGATGTTTACAACTAAAGTCAACTTTATCAGAAAGCATTTACTTTTGTTTCATAATAACCAGTGAGATTCTTCAGACACCAGTAAAACTCTTGGCAATCATGATAAATATTTGTAATAAACAAAAACATGCAAAGAGACACAAAAACTATAGAAAATGAATGAAATGCAGTTATTTAAACTCTAAAGGGACCATGAAAAGGGCAAAGCAGATGACGTCACACCCTGGCGCTGATGAACCCAGGGAACTTTACAATTATTAAGTCTCCTTGGATAAACCGGTATTCTTATAACGGCTTGATTTATTAGCCACAAAGTACGATGTTGAATTAAGAAAAAATGCAACATTCAAACATACACAGAAATAATCCAAACAACCTACTATAGAGTGTTAAATGTGACTAACTTGACTAAATTATAAGATTATAACACGAAAGAAAAATACGTATAGCCAAAAAAAAGGTAAAACCAAGGATAACAAGAAATCTTTAATGACAAATCCTTTGATAATCGAAATGTACTCCATCACAATAGTTCAAGAGACAACTTGGCAAACAGGGTTGTCAGCGTCTGAGAATGACAAGAGTGATTTTGCAATGATCTCTCAAGTACTGACCATGCATTTTTATTACATTTCTAGGGCATTGTCAATCAAAAGATTACGGAGGATTTTTATGCCACAGGTCTAAATACCTAGCCCTGTATATATTGTACGTACACTGATCTGGGACCAAAAGGTTATATTTTTAATAGTTAATTGAGCTCATGATACCCCCACAAAAAATCTTTTTACGGATTAGCCCACCGGCACAGGTCAATGACCCACATCAGGGCCTGGGGCGAAAATATAATAATAATAAAAATTAAGAAAACTAATAAAGAATTGTATATATATATATATATATATATATATATATATATATATATATATATATATATATATATATATATATATATATATATATATATATATATATATATATATATATATATATATATATATATATATATATTATGTGGAGAAACTAGCACAAGCGCCACCCAGGCCACAATTATGTTTATGACCGCAAACAGTTCTTAAAACACCCTATTTCCATGAGGTGATGGTTGAAGTGCAAAAACACCATTGACCCTATTGTTAAAAGTTCAGACAAAACCTAGCTCTGGTTCGTATCTCACCGAAACGACATTTTGACCAATTTTGCTATGTGAATGTAGCACATCCGCCAAATTCTGTGTGTGAAACATACGGCCTTTTATCATAAAGCCGTAAGTGTGTCTGTGGGCAGAGGAGGCACATCTGGCGCTAAGGGAGCGTGCCTTTCTAAATTAATATCGCCATTTGCAGTTGTGTATTGTCACTACACAACAACGTTAAGTGATAATGACTACGTTGATGATGTTGAGGCCCAGCCTGAGCCCTCTACGTCGATTGGAGGCTTCTCTTCAGTAATGTTTTATTCTCAGAAGCCACCTAGGGAGTTGGTGTCCCAGAGCCTGATGACAGTGAAGCCTCCCATAGTGGGAAACGAATTTCGGGTATTTTTATTACAAAACATTAAGGAAACATTATTTTTGGTTAGGTTGAGTTAGGATAGGTGAGGTTAACAGTATCTTTGCAAAAAATTATTTGCAGTTTACAAATATTCAGCTTCATTTTAAACCAAACTGCAACATTCTAACTAGAGTACTTTCCGTGTTATCAATTTCTGAATGTTGCAAATTTTGTTGTGTTGTCAAAGCATGAGAAACAATTGAAACCCTGCAAATTTGTGTGAACGAGGCAGAAAATCAGATTAGCAGCCTGGGACTTGGTCACACTTTTTGTGATGCCATAAAATATGGCAGCAGGGTCTACCATTAGACAATATATTATACAGTACAGTACAGTACAGTACAGTACAGTATACTTCCAATATCTTCCTAGGCAGTATACCTCCCTGTCAGGGGTGTACCGAGTCTTGTAACATTTTTCAGACCATTCGAAAAATTTGTTTAGATCTTCCTGTAGTTCCGACTTCCTGGAAGTGTCAGGGGTCAAGAAATTCCTCATCGACACAGGTTCCTAGCAGTGCGAGTCGACTTTTCGGGGGAGTAGAACAGCAAGAATGTCCTCAAGCACACCTGATTCGTTTCATGGCACTGAAAGGGTGGCCGTCCCACACACCCCGGTTCATGGCACTGAAGGAGTGCCCGGGCACAGAGTCTAGCACGTTCTAACTAGACGGATGGGGTTAGTGTTATGGTAAGGTTTTAGAAGGTAAAGATTCATATATCAAAAGTGAATTTTAAATATTAGGTTAGGTTAGGTTAGGTTTTATTAGTTAAAATCCAAGTGTTATGACAGAATTAATGGAGTTAGGTTAGGATAGATTAGTTAGGTTGTTAGGTTTTATGAGTTAAAATCCAATTGTCAATAAAAAATTTTGGAAGTTGGGTCAAAGTTGATTAGCTTATCATCAAGAGGCCATGACTAAGACAGGTGCTAGGAAAAGGTTTATTAATCGCACTCTATACGTCATGATTAATATTACTGTTAAAAGAGAATTTTTTAAAGTTAAAATCCACATCAAGAATAGATATGAGAGTTAGGTAAGGTTTTCTTTAGTTAAAAGTACTATCAGAAGGGGTTTTATACCAATTCAAGAGAAAGGTAGTATTAATTATTTAAAATAAAAATATATTAACCAAATCGAGTTTTGTAGAATTTATGTCAGAATAAATTTATGAAGATTAATGCAAAATTTAGGAAGGAAAATTGTCTGGGATGTAGTTACTCTTCTTGTTCCCAGCCATCCTGGCAAAAAAATATATATACATATAATGCAGTCATATACTGTTCACTATCATTTAACACTGATACACAATAACTGTATCCAATCAGGGTAATATTTGCAATCTCTTTCCTGGTACAGTACAGAGTGGCTATAATCTACAGCTCCACAGCAAAACGTAGTCTCCTCACACTTTGTCATTCAATCTCTCTTAATGTTATTATAGATGTGTTCTACAATGGTGTTCTTCCCACAGCAAGATGCCAAGATATCCATTTGTGGCAGCCCTGTGTTTGTTTACATTCAACAGAAGGATACTCACAATCGTAAACATAATATGGAATGAAATTAAAACAATATTAAAAGATATCAATGATAATGATTTGTGGAATGTTTATATGATCAGCACCTGTACAGTGTACACGCACTAATGAAGGGGACTGTACATCTACAGTATACCGTAGTGCCACTGCCGAGAGCCACTTCATGTCAGTTTTCCAGTCATGCCATGCACATCAATGCTTTATCTATGTCCTTCCACCTACCATCCAATACCTTCCTCACCCCAACCTTCCATATACATCATCACACTTATAGAAGGCATACTGTATATCGGGACAAAATCTTTTCAGAATAAAATACACTGAATCGCAAAGTGTTTATTGTCTATATTTTGTAAAAAAAAGACATTTGTTTTTTTCTTCAAAGGTCTCAAACTGTTATGATTGTGCTCAGGTGTCCAATGTGCATTTAATATTTTTTAAATAGGAAGCAGGAATGTATACACAATGAAAATAACTCCTTCATAAACATATAAGCTTTGATAATCTTTACATTTAAAATTATGCACTGACACAGAACATTATACAAATAAATTTATTACAGTACATCATTAAATAATTACATCAGCATAATGAAGACGATGATCTCATTGAAAACACAAAACGGGTTTTTATAAATATTTAACGGGACACATCTATACACTTTACTTACAAAACATTACCTAGTGCAGCCACCTCCAAGTATCATAGTTCTATGTGTGGTTTATGACTAGTAGAATCTGAAACAAGGATATAAAGGATGCGTGAATATCACAGGAAATCCTATACAAAACTTGCATCTAATCATGCAAGTAAAAATGGTTTTGCAATGGAAAGTCAACTGTCAGTGCAAACAGACAAGGTGTATTAATGTGAGAAGGATAAAGAACATAACATGAAGTTGAAATTTGGCACAAAAAAATGGCATTAGGTCAATAGTTAAATGATTGATTGTGGAATGATATCCATTTTTATGCCTGAGGAGACAAACAAAACATACCACTACCAAACACAATGTTCATATGGATACTGTACTCCGGAGATACTTGGCCACAGAGTGTCTCACAGGTCACTTGTAAATGTCAGAAATCCGTAAAAAAAATATTTGACATCAATGACTACAAGTCTCTACTTTTTAACCATTATTCTCTCCCACTTTTTGTATCAGATGGATCACAGTATACAGAAACCTGAAAGAAAGGGGGGGGGAACAGATATACGTAGTGGGTATCAAGACGATAGAAATACAGCACGCACGCACAACACTCCCAACTTGTCTTCTGTTCACCCATGGTTAATTTTTTACCCGGAAATGCAGAAAAATACAGTCTTGATCGTACTGTATTACAGGTATTAAAATTTAATGCAAAATTTTTTACAATACTCCAGTGTAGAGTTATACAAATCAAAACTGTCTCTTAACTGGCCAGCTAGGAACATAACCAAGTTTTCACCCCCCACATTACACTGCTTAATACAGTATGAATACACAGATCATCAAAAACATAATATTGTACTACATAAAAGCAAGAATTCTACTTATGGGTCACTAACACAGCACACTAGTATATTTAACTCATCACTTCTAAACATGAAATCACTTGAGATAAATGACTCTTGAAAAGTTGAGGTAAAGGTACAAGTAGAGTATAGATCAGAAGACCAATTAAATATATAACAGTTATGGGCAAAGTCGAGTGGAGTGATTATGGCATAACACGTACCTTCTGATTGTGTTGATTTATTCTGTTTAAAATTTTGTATCGTAGTCTTTATTTCATTGTCATATGTAGTCCATTCATCGATGATTCTCTGGGCAGCCTCCAGCTTGGCTTCTTTGGTCATGGGATTGTTGCACTGTAAATAGAATAATTAAACAAATAATTTCTACCTAAAATTAAAGTTCATCAGCAATTTTTTTTAACACTACATAATTTGCAAGTATAAATCAAATTTCACTGATAGAATTATGTAATTTTTTTTTCAACGTTCAAAATACTTACCTCTAACAATGTGTGAATGGAATGTGAAAGCCTGACAATTAAAGAAATCTAATTCACCTAATGATAAGAATAAAAAAAAGGACATACCCCAAAAAACCAAAGTAAAAAGATCGTAAATGAAGCAAACCAACATCTGAAATATACTGTACTTCAAAAGATATTGGAATGACTGACATGATCTACTTGTACTACCTGCAATAAATTTCCTAATAAACCTAACTTATCCTGCAAGCACTTCTTTACACTGCTGGAGTTCATCTAGGAAATTCAATAAACAAAATCATCTCAATCTTCCTTAAGTATATCCTATAACTCTGCCTCACCAAGTCAATAATCTTGGCAGTCTTCTTGGATTCGTCATCGCACCAAGACTCACACCAGAGCCAGTCTTGTGGTAGGGACTTTATCCGCACCTGATGCACCATGTTGTTAGGAAGATCCTGAAATAAAGAGAGAAATCATTCATAAATCATAAATACAGAGTTAAATAATACATCCAATAACTATTGAAGTATCTTTTAAATGTGTTTTGTATGGTGGCCATGAGTGATTTTTTTTTTCCTTTCAAAATAAAGTAACTGATACTTTACAGAGAAATGAAATCCCTCTCCAACAAGTGGGAAAAAGTATTAGTAGACTCTGAGTCAATAAAGGAAGAGAAGAATACAAGAAGAAGTCGAAAAAAAGCAAATTTGAAGAAAAAGTGAAAATACAAAATATACAAAATAGAGGAAGATAATTACATAAAAAAAAACACAACAAAAACTCCTTGACAAAATATATAGGCAATCTTTAACTACACGAATGGATATTGTACACAAAGCTCTATAGAATCATTATTTATCCAAGTTGTAACATTATTCTTTCCTCTTTCAGGAAGCATCCCATGACCACCCACTGAAACCTGAAGGGGGGGAATGGTAGAGGAGAGTGGTGCAAGAATAGTGTACAAAACAACAGGTAAGAATTTAAACGACAAGTAGAAATATCTGATGGAGCTATGAGAGAGAGAGAGGGAGAGAAAAACATATCTAAGCTCAAGACAGTAACTCACCTGATCTAAGTTGGAGAGTGAGTTAGGGTCCTGTGACAGACCCTGGTATTGGCCTCTAAGTCGGTCACCAGCAGCAATGCGACGGAACTTCTTTAGATCCACAACGAAAAGTGCAGAGATGTGGTATTTCCGGCCAGCTAAGTGGTTGCGCCAATAACCTTGCTTCCAAAATCTGTGTGAAGTTTGCCAGTATTAGTTTTCTCTTTAATCTAAACATTACCTTTCTTCCCACATACAGTATTTGGGATGGAACAAGAAAACAGGAACCAATAGAGAAGGACGAAGTGGTAGAGAACAGTGGAGCGCACGCGCGCACACACTTCTTCATGTCTTCAACTTCCATGCAAATTACTGTACACAAAGTGATTACCTTCTAACAGTATTAATCTACCTTATCAATTTAAGTTTTAGCTTTGAATTGTGAAATAAACAAGGAATGATTGTTTCCTCAAGTCTCTATAATACAGCTATCCCTCGAGTTATGGAATCTTGAGTTATGGCTAAGGACAACTGCTTGGGAATGTAACCCTTCCATAACTGGAGGGATGTCAGTAATTATTTATACTGTAGCAGAGAAGACACTTTATGTAAAGAGCAGAAAAAGTTACTAATCTCCAAATTCCATCTTTTTAAACAAGAATCCCCCTCCCAGTAGTAACTGTTCAGATAATAAAAACAAGAACAAAAACAAACTGAAGAGCTTTCCAACTCTTACCTGAATCCATCAATTTCCTTGCGTGAATCACAGAAAGGTACAAAACCATAGGGAGCTCCATCAAGGTCTTCATTATTAAGGTCTTTAATATCAGCTCTTACAATCTGCGGAGCAAAAACCTCATGAAACACTCAATTACCTAACAATCTGATCAATGTACACTAAAAAGAGAGCATCAACAGTTATTGGATCACATTTATTATCATTTAAGGTGCTGACGATAAACTGCAAGCCACTTAGAAATTATATGTTTTGCATAACAATGCATGTCTCAAACACCTGTCTGCCAGTCAGGCGTTGCCTACCACTGTGGCCAAAATATCCAAATTCTACAAGAACTGATCAGAATATCCTATTCTCTTCGCCAAGTAATAAATGCCCTTATTCTACCACCTCTGTTACCCAAATACTGTATCCATATTCTCCTTCAATACATTCAGGGGCGTCATTTCAGATTTTGCTTAGTGGGGGCAACATCATTACAAGCAAGGAGTAGGGGTAAAAATCCTGCTCCACCGTGGTGCTGCCAGGTGGTGCTGTAACAGACGGAACACATTCCAACACATTTTATATTTTCAGTTTGCATCTGCCCGGTGTGGACCGTGTGGCTGCTAGCAATATGACTTACTTCCTTGCTGCTATTCTGTTTATAAATGATAGGCAATGGGAACGATGAAGATAGATGAATACTTATCATTTTGTTTACTTGTGTATAGTAAACATACCATCGAGATGTTCTCACCAAATCAAAATTTGTCAATATGAAAAAGGAATATAATTAGAATTTCCTTGGAGAGCATGACAGCCCTTGGGAGGGGCAAGCCAACCCCCCCAAATGATGCCCCTGAATCCATTTACTAAATACTCTTAATGAGTTACAAGATTACCCCAAATCTACCACCACTGATCCCTTTACACTCTTACTTTCCCAAAACAACAAAACACCCACAAGCATACAGAATTAAATGGAAAACAATGATAACATAACTCCCTCTTCATTGATTTTTATACAACATACAACACCACCAACCTGATCTGCATCAACAAAAATGATCTTCTTAATATCGAGAGGGAAGAGAACGTCAAGGAAGAGGATCTTGTACCCCCAGATAATGCGCTGCTTCTCAGTCTGCTGGTGGAGCCATCTAGGCCACTTGTACTGGACGAGCTCATATTCAAATCCATATTCCTTTGCCAGCAGAGGAAGTATATCCTAGGTAACAAATGAAGGACAAAATATATCTTAGAATCAAACAGGAAAATGTTTTCAGATTAATTTGGAACCAATTACAAAATATATTATTTCCAAGTACCCTGTATTGGTATTTACAGATACAGTATACAGTAATACCGAACAAATATTCATAAAAAAAACTACGAAAACCAAAGAAGACAATATTGTACCTGCATATTAGTAAATCATAAAATATATAAAACCTATCAACTGATCATATGATTTCAGCAACTGTAAATGTCAATAAACTTTCTTCATTACCATACAGTATATACTTATACAGTACAGTGTTAAGTTTACCTTAAAGATTGGAGAAAGGAAATTCTTCACAAACCAGAACTTGACTGGAGTTTTGGTATGCCGCAGCACCGAGACCATCATGATGCGCAGGAATCGTTCATACAAATGTCCCGATGCCACGGAGAAAATGTTCACCGTCTCATCTTCATCCTCTACTCCGCCACTCGAGCTGAAGGTGCTGAAGTAGTTCAGTAATCATTAAAGCATAAAACACCAGTACAGTACATTACTATAAAACACATACTATACATCATTACACTCTGTTGCAACAGTAATTAAACTTCTATGGTCTTTGTTTATTTCAATAAAACAGATAAAAAAATATTTCAGTTATTTGTTATCTATCAATGGCTAATAGCAATATGGTAAACTACAGAAGTGAGGCAAAAATTTGCTTTGCTTCTGTAATATAGTGAGTGATAGAGGAAATATGCGAAGACAATGAACACAGTACACAATAATGCAACAACAATTATAAAATTAAGTATCGAACGAGTTACAGTCATGTGACTGATTAAAAAAATAAATTATAGAAGTTTAACATTTGCTAATGCCAATAATAACAGCAACCACGATGATGACAGCTTATATAAAACCAGGGATACGGCATAGGGTCTTCTGTACTTCAAACGGGCAAACTAGAAAGCATTTTATTATTGGTGACTTTACTAATAATGACACTGCAAAAACCATGGCAAACCATAAACATTTTCAGACTCCTTACCAATACAAATACTTCAAAGAAACTATGAAATCATATTTAGCAGGTCACGTTTTCCTTGATGAAGCAGAGTACTGTATACGTGTATGTGCTAACTTTTGAACAAAAATAAACAAAGCTTTTGTGACTAATGTGTAGTTGAATCCATCCCTAGCCAGTCATACAATATGTCTGTCATGGGACACCCAACTTCTTATCTTATTGCAGTGCAATTTAAATTTCATACGCTACAGGAACTCTCATAAAAATATTTTGAACAGTGTTGACTGGAGCTCTTACTTTCAATAAGATAAGGGGCTTGCTGAGGAACTAATAATCACACTCACTGGATAAAAACGACTGCCATTTTTACAACAGTTCATTGAATTGATGTCTATGTCCATCCCTAAATGCAAACTGTCCCGGGTAATATTCATTTAGAAACAACTGTTTGTGATTGTCTAGAAAAGTATCATGCCATAGTGGCTAGCAGGCAACATGCTTAACTGTCCTCCATTTAACTTAAACCGGATTTTTAGCAGTTTTTTTTTTAATGCTCTGTGGTCCATTCTTGTTAAAATCAGACACAGGTAAGTGATATTTGTTTTAATTCACACAATACTGTCCTACACAAGTGCCCAACTGCTGGGTCATTGGTAATGAATGGAGTATAGATGACTGGCTACCAAAATACTGTAATCAAAATAGCTTCTACATTAGTTTACTCACTTAAATACATATAACAGAAAAACTATATAAATCATATCTACTCCTAGATACACTCAATATACCCCTGCAACATTTTGTTTTCTTATCATTATAGTACTGTACACATATAGTTTCTTCTTTATGCATTAGGAAAATTCTCTGGTTACTTACATATAACACTTTACCGTTTGAAGCAATCATATGAGTGAAAACAGTGAACAATAACCAGACTTAATCAAACTTTCAACCCAGAGTTCTATCTCTCATAACAGTATTTTGTTATTGTTTATGTAATAGTGTTTTACTTACCTCGTATGTGCTTAAAGCGCAGTAATAGCATTATAACAACAACTGATATTTTGAAGCAAACCAAACAAGCAGTGTTATGTCCAGACACCCCCCCTTCCCCCTTTATTGAACCTTTGCATTTTCCAAACTTGAATCAGCCCCAATTACTCTGGTGTATCGAGGTGCTACTGTACTAAGAGTTTTCCTGGCTTTTTTTTTTTTGTCAATTGATGCACATCTGAACATAAGCTATAAAAGTACAAGTTGTAGCTGTGTCATTACATAAACTACAATAAATTATACATCAGAAAATGCATTATTTAAAATAAGAAGCAAAACAATAATTATGTAGTACGGATTCTTCTGTAAAACAAATATACAAGCAAGTTACTAAACCATGCACAAAAAATATGATACCTGAGCCAAAGAGACTTAGCTAGGGAATAACACTCCTCAAACAGGCCACGCCACTCGTCAATTATGGGCCCCACAACAGGCATGCTTGTAAAACAAAAACAAATATATTACACTAATCTCAATGTATCAATCCACATACAAGTAAAATTGGCAAAAAAAAATAAAAATAAAAAATCCCAAAAGGCAATTGTATGGAACCAGCAATTATCTACAATAAACTGATATCAACTGTACTGATACAGTCAAACAACAATAAAAATGCACACTAACTGTTTACACTTGGTAATGGCAAAATACAAGGCAGACACAATGTTGAGATTATTAAGAGTCATGCAGATGTTAATACTCTACTTTCTACAAGATGTGCACTGTATAGCCTAAGGGAGAAAAAATTATGAATACTACAGCAATTGTTTTGTCTACAAATAGCCAAAGAATATACAGTACTTGAACCAATTTCTATAAATACTGTACAAAATATCCTTAACACATTATAATTGCACTGAATTTTGAATTGTTTATCTGAATAATTACAAAACACTAAGCTGCAAATGAATAAGGATATTACCAGCAACAAAACTTACATTTAAACAGTTTAACTAACTTCTGAAACTTGACTACTGAACTTATTCCCTTACTGAGAACAAGACAAATTGCCTTAGACATTGTGTCATCCCATTACATTTGATGACATTACAGTATAATGCAAAAATAAGCTTTACTGAAAATCTTTTAAGAAAAAAAAAGCCTCTTCAAATTTGCCTTTCCCTTATTCATCACTCCCTGAGGTTGCTAATTAGGGACATAAACACCTGGAGAACAACTTGAGAAGTTAAAAACGTCTGGTAAAAAATGGGATAAGTTCCAGGCTTCAATATCTCCACTAAACTGAACAAAAAACACCCTAACCATCCATTACAGTAAGGACATGAAGCCTCCAGATTATGTGTGTAATAAAGGGTGTCTCAAACAAATGTAAAATGTACACACTTGCCTTACAGATTTTTGTGTACAGTACATACTGTATTACTACAGCAACATTGTTCTCATTGCCAACAAGTTAAGACAATGTTGCATTTGTAATACTGTACAAGCATTAATACAATCTCCACAAAAGTCTGCAAGGTAGTGTGTATACAATTTTGTTTTAGACTATATACTTTAGATTGAGCCATCTTACAGACTCCGCTATCTTGGGCTGAGCTAAGAGACCACACTACGGCCATATGCAGCTTTCAGTCTAGATATAGTGATTGGTGTTTTACATAATTCCTGGATGCCTTCTATGCATTTCTACTCTCACTTTCCTATGTTTTTGCTGTAATATCATTCTAACTGCCTCTAAAGATGGTACAGTAGAAGAAATAGTAGTGGTTAGTTCAGCTCATTGTTTACCAAGCTGGCCAGGGCGAGTGTCACACCTTTTGTCACTATGTCCCATGTTTGATATGAAGCTAATGATATTTGTTGTTACCCTTTATACCTTTAGTTCTACTTTACATTATAACATTATAAATATATAAGAAGTTTTATGCTAACCAATATCATATGTTTTCCTCAATACTCTTCCTGGTAGAGGGAATCATTTTATGGATATTAAATTACCCATACATACACCAGTATGTTTTCTACCCATATTTTCAGGCATATAATGTATAGCGGCATGAAACTGGTTGGTTATGTTACTGTAAGCGAAAAGCTTTATTTTCCTCCTCCTGCCAAACGAAGGCAATGCCAGGTATGAAAACATGCTGGTTACAAAAGTGTTTTACTAAAATATTTTACCTGAAAAATATTTAGCACCATGTCAATGCTTTAATGTACTGACACCGAACACCTGGAAACCACAGATACTAAGAGATTATTAAAAATATCCAGGCCTGACAAAGACCAGTTGTGTCCCAGAATATGATTTTTTTGTGGCTAGATCTGGGTAAGCATCTGAACTGATTAAAAAGAGGCATTTATACATGTTAATTTATAGTGTATAAGACACAGTGTTTATACAGTATGTACATTTAAACAGGACATCATTTTGTTTAAACATCTCAACTAAACTGTTGGGTCAAGCTATGTAAGATGAGGTCAGCTTAAGTTAAATTTGGTTCAACTACTTAAAACAAAATTATATAGATGGTAACTTGTTTTCATTATATAGTTTCTCCTCACACTGTTGCATCATGCGTCACTGCCTCCCCACATCAACATCTAAAGTGTATACATGAAGAGCACATCTAAACTGGCAAAGGTAGTGCAAATATGTACTGTTTAGAAGTAGTGTATTTTTACATCCAAACTGGCTGAGACAGAGTTTATATGAATATTTAATATGGTAAGGAGGCTAGTGGGTATGTGAACATATAAACTGACTAGCATTGTATACCATATATAAACATCTAAACTGTTTACAAGACAGAGTTTTGTATGAGCATCTAAATTGATTAAGAGGCAGTGTATATACAGTAAGAGCTAAACTCACTAAATGACTTTGGGGAGACTGTATTCTACTTATACAGTATAGAAGACAACATGGCAACCTGTGGTGTAATGGTCAGCATGCTCGCCTCGCAAGCGAGAGGACCAGGGTTCGATCCCCAGGGTTCTATCCAGCAGTAATTGGGAACCTGGATGTTAATCGATTTGCGGATCATATTCCGGGGTAATGGTTAGCCATTGCAGTTGGCAAGTTGTCTGGTCTTCTCGGACTATTCCTTGACACTGGGTCATACAGCTCGTTAACTTAGGGTGTGGTTGTTGTGTTGGCGACAGCTTCTACACTATAAACAAATTCACGCCTTGGTGGCCCTAGGGCCAGCCATCCTCGTTACATGAGCGACAACCATTATTTATTTTAGAAGACAACAAGCAGCATATTCAATACTCATGATTGATACAATCTTTTAAACAACTATAAGCATCATCAAAGATATAGCAAAGGAACTCATGCTAAGAGAACAATTGCCCTTTAAGAATGGTTGACCACAAACTCGGGGTGTACAGAACAGTATAAATCTATAGACAGTATGAAGTAAGCTTGCACTGCATTAATAAAACTTTCAATACTGTGCAGTAAGCATTTGCCTACAGACAGGAAGACTGTACAGTATATCTAAACCTTTCTAGTTTTGGAAAAAAAATTATGAAAAATTTAGTAACAATATGTTAGGCTCAGTACTGTATCTGTGGTACACAAGGAAGTGTTCTTCAAAATTTATTGTCCCAAATAAAAGATACATCACAGGGTACAACTACAACCCCACATTTCCCTCATACTAGTACAGTACAGTGTACGTGTAAAGACAAACTAGGTTTTCAAATTTCACTAATAATATATAACACATTACTTCCAAAATAAAAAATTTAAACTCAATTTATATAATGCACCTACAAGCCTACTTCATCAAATTATCAATACAATGATGGAAAAGTGATGTGTTTTACCTACCTATCTTGGGAGGAATTTATCAGAGAATGTAAAATGTGAGGAGTTTTATCAAAATGGCAGAGAACAGAAAATAATATGTGTACGTATTGATAAATTTATGAAAAAGGGTGAACTACGTCAGAGTCAAGTTGACAATTAATAAAGGATAAACTAAACTAACCCTACCCTACAGGTAAGAGTACTAGTCCTGAATGCTTGACTAAGAAGCTAGTTGGCAGCAACAGAAATAATATATCTGAGAACACTATGTAGGACAAATAGGATGCTAAATATTATACAACCACACAGATGAGATGGAACTCCTAATTTCTTACGCATACTGTACAGGTATTTCCTTCGTGTTTTACAATGGACGAACTCTCCTTTATCATTGTTCTCAGGGTACTGGTTTTCATTTCCAGACGAACTCTCCTTTATCATTGTTCTCAGGGTACTGGTTTTCATTTCCAGACGAACTCTCCTTTATCAATGTTCTCAGAGTACTGGTTTTCATTTCCAGACGAACTCTCCTTTATCATTGTTCTCAGAGTACTGGTTTTCATTTCCAAACAAACACTTTACTAAACAACCTTACTAACTCCTCCTCAATACTGTACAGGTACTTTCCTATCCCAACTTACACAACAATGAGAGCCGCTCTTTTTCGAACATGAGAACTTTCCTGTAACATGCATATGCTATAAGCACCATCACTCTGTAAAATTTCTCTAACAAACAAGTTGCCAATCTACCTAGCTCCTTTAACTCGTACAACAGAACAGCACCACCCATATTCAGCCTCTATAAGAGATTTTATTCAAAATCATCAGGGTACAGCTGTGACCACCATTCATCAACCCTCATTCAAGCTTCACCCACAAAATCATTTGATAACTACAATAACATTAACCAAACTCGATGCTCTCCAACACTTGTTTTGCACTACTTATTCAAACCAATTCTTACTAGCAAATTAACAATATTTCCACATACATAGCAATTAAAAACAAATAAAATAAACTGCAATCTTAGTCTGAAGCGAGGGATACAAAAAAAAATAGTATCATTCATTACCAAATGTGCAGCTTCAAGCCAGAGTACGTTGAGTTATGGGGTGAATTACAACAAACAAGAAAACACCGAAATTATAAAAGGAAATCTGCATTGCCATAAAACAGTACAGGATTAGCTTACAATCTACATATACCCACCAGTTACCTTGAAAGACAATGTGCAACAGAGAAACCCCAACTTAGGCAAAACAAAATAAAAAGTTCCAGGCAAAGATCCAGTCAATACAAAACTTCTGTTAATGATTATTGTAAATCTGATTAAAAGTCTCTACCTACCTTGTGATAGAATTCCAGAGGCCTCCGCTTTCTTCATTATCATCAGACAAAAGTTGCACATTTTGCTTGCCAGGTTTCTTAGCAACACGCACCTTGACTACATGGGATTTGAAGCTACTCAGGATAATCTGCACATCTTCCGAGCCAGTTGGGGTATCTGTCCCCTCGTGACTGAAGAAATGAAGATGCTATTTTAATTTTCACTTAAAAAAAATTACAGCAAAAAAGGAGTAGGTGTATGAAAGGTCTGTAAATATATATTGCAGAGGAAAATTACAATATGGAGGAGGGGGGGGGGGGCTACATACATAAACCATAATGTTTAATAAAGGTTCAAAAAGATTGATGATGAAAGATTATACAAACCACAGTAAATGTACATAAAATAGTTTACTAATATTTCACAAATACATTTATGAGGGACTATTTCTTCTGTTTATCTTAGTGAAACTATAATACTAAAGTAGCTCACCTAGCAATGGAATAAATATCAGATGAACGTCCTTGTCTCAGCCTGAGTAACCACGCCCCAGGGTTGGCCTTCAATTGGAAATAGCCCAAGTTGGCCATCACAATTGTATCAACCTGAAATACAAATTGTGATTCTTTCTTAAAACACTCTAGAGAATACATACCACAATAGGTAAACAATAATGTATGGTACAGTACTACATAATTATAATGTGACATTTCTACTTGATATCCTTCCGTTTAGCTACATCTTTTTGTCAATAAATTTACAAGAAACTTTCTATGTGAACTTCTTTCTCACTGTAAATATCTATTCTGTGCTTTTTATGTTTCATAATTCTTTTAATGATTCTAGTAAGGAGGAAAGATAATAAGTAAAACAGGAAACCAAGAACTGGTCATAAACCACTTAAGTGTGGGCTGGTCAGCAGTGTCACCAGCTCATAGTCTCAACATTAACCATTAGCAACAGGCTTTAGTGACTAAGTCTTAAAGCTAACATACTGGTACACAAGAAGGTAAAGTAAATTAATTATCATTATTATTAATTTAATATTAGTATAGTATTATACAGGTATACGAGTATAGTACAGTATTTTAGATGTGGAGGAGTTCGGTAGAGGGTTCGGTATACATCGAATTCATTTGCTAACGAGAGGTAATACTGGAATCTGATGAGCAGTTCGGTATACAGTAAGATATTGTATTTTGCGAGTAATATAGACTGGAAAAATTGTGCCAAATTCAAATTTGCCAAATGCAAATACATAAACTAATGGGAAAAATAACAATATAGACTGGCCATTCTACATCAACCTCTGATTTTCCCATTTATAACCTCCAAAGATACAATTTCTGCCTTTATTGACCTGATTGTGCTTTCCGGAAACTAGATTTTAGGCCTTCGATCACCAGAACACTTCTTGGAAACATTCTTCTTACCTTGTCTTTCCATATTCATCGCTAACACAAAAAAATTGGAAAAAACAGCGAAAAGCGTGGAGCAATCGACAAAAACCGCGCGATTCAACTAAGCATGTGATGTAAACAGAGAGAGCTGGTGTAAACCGTTATTAGTCCTCACTGCGAAACATTCTTTTTACTTATTCTTTTCATACAGTATTTATGGGTAAAACAGCTAAATTTGCAAAAAATAAAAAATAAATAAAAATTACAGTGTGCCTCTCAAAAAACACTTCACGAATCAATTGAACGTGTGATGTTGAATGTGAACTGTAAACATTGCATAACCCCGCACCACGCTTAAGACGTTGAGGATGGAATCAAAACATTGAGGATAGAATTGTGTTATAGCCAACATTCGTATGCAAAAGTTCGTTTTTTACAAACAGCGTTCCCCTATTCATCAATCGCGTTGACAAAACACGAGTTGTAGCAGAAATGACTATAACTGGTATGAGGGCTGTGACGTCATTCAAGATGGTGGCCAGCATTCAGCTTGCTGGATCTCGCGAAATTTACGATATTTTACGCCAAATATAAGACTTGGTTACATTAGGTAGTGCTCGCGAAATTAAATTGCGCGAAATATGAGAACTTACTGTATAATGAATTTCGGTATAGAGGTAATAATATATAAGTACTGGTCCTATACAGGGATACCTTATTTAACGATCATTTACTTAGCAAGAGATACTGTACCTGTAATATGGAAATTTCAATTATGTGGAATGGTTACCGCTATACGTATGTTCCAAATAATTGTATTTATACAACATGTTATCCAAAACAAGAACTAAAAACACCTGGAACAGCTAAATTCCTTTACGTACACATAAAAACTTGACTTTTTTTTCCATACTTTGAAAACTGAAATAAGTTAATAAATATTACCATAACAGGCTGTTGTATGTTGCCAAGAGTGAACTGCAAGCCTCGTGGTGGATTTCCTGATGACTGTTCGAAGCAGTGTCCCTCCAGGAGTAGATGTTCCAACTCAAACTCACTGTGTAAACGATTTATAATACTGTAACAATATCGTATTCATGAACTGGGATCTATAAGAAAATACACTTTTAAAAAGAAGGTATTTTCTCCATTACATAAGTTGTTGGGACTTTTACCATTTCCTACCAAAACAAATACTGTATTGTGCTAAACTTTTAAGTCCTTGAATACATATAATTTTATACCTTGACCCTTTAACTTTAAAATCAAAAGGCTCCTTCCTCCACAAGTCTTAAAAAAAATTTAATTTTCTTTTAATAGGCAATAAAGATAACTAAGGAGAAGAATATTAAACTGAATACTAACTTCTAATTACAGAATAAATTTGATTATTTGTGGTTCTGATGTAAGTGTCTTGAAGACTGAAATGATTTGTATGTAAGCAGGAAGCAAAGGTGATAAAAAAAAGTACAAAAAGATAACAAAAATGGCACTGAATAAAAAAAAATATCTACTTTTACCTGTGAACTCCACCTTCTACAGACTCCAACTTGATGTTATCCAGGTCATATATAGATTGGACCACCTCCACCAACCAATTCTCTGGAGCGTGGTAATTCAAAGTGAGGATTGGCGATTCAGGAAGACCAGTAAACCTAGCATGGGGACCAGCTGTTAATTCTCCACCCTCCGAGAACTGTGGCTCAGGCTCCAATACATAACGGTAGAAACTGTAAAATGAAAAATAAAAATACCCATTACAGATATACTGTAACATGTTTGGTAATATATACAAGACAACAAAAACAGATGTTAAGGTTATCTTGTGTATGCACCTAAATTTTATATAAAAAGCAAAAACTTTTAGCATTTCAAGTGTTAACCAATAATACTGGACACAAATTCAAATTTAAAGACTTAAGGAACAACTACCAAAAAAATTAATTTAATTTACAGTAATTATGAATGTGTGTAGATAAATCAAAAGTACCTCTGATTTTTTCCATGACTAGACAGTACAATACAGTATATGATCACTGTACAGTACTTGTATGTATGCCTTATAAAAAGTCAAGTTAAATGTAGTAAAACCCTTAAGTATAATACAGAGGGTTCTCTACATGCTCATTACCTACTACCACACAAAGTGCGACTCGAGCTAAAAGAACTTGTATTGAAAAATGGCTTTTATTACAACAATATCCTGAAAATTCAACTGACCTCGTCAGTGGCATTTCTGAGTGTTTTTCTCTGGAATTGAGAACAATACGAATATTGGCATTGATCACTTCTTGAAGCACCATTATGATTGGGCCTATCTTCTGGGCAGCAGTGGACACTGGGTCACATATTACCACAACATCAAACGCTGGCACATCTGGATCCTTAGGAGGAACTTTGACAACAGAGTATTGCTCTGAGCGGAGAGGTACAGTAGTCCGACCCTTGGAAAGGGGCTTGGTTTGTAGTACACCAGTGACCTTCATCAACATGTCACTAATATCTCCAGGCAATATGTCACCTGAAAACATAAAACTTATTACTAGAGACTTGTGTATGATACATAATTAAATATACTGTACTATAATATATATATATATATATATATATATATATATATATATATATATATATATATATATATATATATATATATATATATATATATATATATATATATATATATATATATATATAAAGTAATTTCATGCTATATGGGATAGGGTACAGAACACAATGGGGGCATATTCCTAGGATTCCTGAGACTCACCACATTTAAAAGTTATACCCTTTTAGTCACTGCCAGCTTATGCTACTTCAAGGCAGGAAAACAATAAATAAAAGGTTGAGAATTTCAATATTAAGAAAATGAAGCATGCAGCAATAATAAAAAGTAGAATTACTGTACTGTACAAAACAATTACCTTGACCATCAAGGACTTCGGTAATTTTCTCTCCATAGGTAGACTGGACATACTTTTCAAGTAAACCAAAATCTTCTTGCACAAATTTCTCATCTTTCTTGAGGGTACCAAGCATTCGGCCATTAGCAACCACTGTGCGTATCCGTGGAGCTATTGACAGCACCTAACATTATATTGAAAATTAATTAACCAAAACAAATAATATATCCTTGATGTTTTACTACAGATCAAGGTTTCAAAAGTGGTATAAGCTCATATTTACAGTCATTATCAATTAATGTATATCAAAAACAATATATCAACCAAGAAAAGAGAATGAGATTAAATAAGGCAAACATCAATTTTCAACATTACCTTTCTACAATAAAGAGAATGAATTTTAAAAACATCTTCTTTTAATGATGCTAAACGAGACTGGAATGCTTCCATGTCCAAACCCTGCAAAAAGTAGTAATAAATTACATATATGGTATGTTTATTAATTGTTATATACTTGTACTGCACTAACACTGTTCATGAGTTGGTAGCTATTCCTACATGAATTCTGGATGATACATTGACTGATTCGGTGGCAGTAGAGTATAATAACCAAGACCTATGACTGAAGACGATGGATGTATTCAGGATACAAAGCATAACTGAAGGAACATATCTAATAAGCCAGGAATTTATATAGTAGCATAATTACACAGAACAATTAGGAAGGGTGAAAATGCGAGATATCAAGTATTTTCACTGAAAGAAATACAATACTGTTTCTGAGAGTTAGGTTCATATTTTTTTAGCTGAAACAATTCATTGATGAAGTTCTAGATAACACCTAGAAAATTATCCTACCATCAGTCGGTGATTAAAACTTCCAACCTGTGTACAATCCAGGTAGGAAAAGAATACTTTGGTTCAATATATATGTCAGCATAAAAACCAAAAGCCGACCTTGACAACAATACTTTTTGTAAGCTTGAACTTTAGAAATTATTACCTATATAAAATATGCAGGTAAATAATCATATGAAAGACCGAGTTTTATCATTTTAAGTAAAGTAAAAAAAATTAATAAAATAAACAGGAATTTTGGTTTGGCATAAATGTACTGTAACAATCTTGCCGCCACCATGTACAGTATTTAGACCATCAGAACCCTTCCTTCTCAATGCAATTGTGAGAGACTAACTAAACCATCAAATATATACAGTATATATACCGGTACATAAAAATAACCCATCATACAAAACCATCAATGTCTATCTTTCAGAAACCGTTCCAATACTTACTGAAATTTCATAGTCAGTCCACTTCTTACTTCCATCTAGTATCTTTCTGGCATTTTCCTTTGCCAAAACCTTTGCTAAGAACTGACGAGCAACAGCCGGAGAGAGGGTGGCTTGTGCTACCTCTACTGCTCGACTAAATATTTTTGTAGTATCAGTAGCTGTATCTCTGTTGTGAATGGCACACAGGCGAACACTATTACTCTCGCGCTGAAATAGAAACATCAACATACTTCTATCAATTTTAATCTCACATACGGGCAAAAGCTTTCTCCATCGTCAAATATGAACCAGGTTATATTCCTTTCAAAAGCACAAAATAATGCACTGACCAAATATTTCACAGCTTCAAGCAGCAGATCTCTTCCTTCATAGGTATCAAAATCCCCAACAACCCACACGGTCAAGGGACGCACAGCAGGTTCACTTTTGGTGGTTATGTAATGACAAGAGTTAGCAATGATTGCACTCATCTCTGGGGACTTAAATGTAGAGAAAGCTTCAACAGAAATGCCATTAAGAAGCTTGTCAGAGGTATCAGTCAGATCGATGTATGTAGAGCTCTTAGTGTTTAAGATCCTCTCATTCAACCTGCAAGTAAAATGTACAGTAATTAGAGTTAAAGTTTTAAGATCAAGAATCCTCACAACCGAGGACTTAGCAAATTGTCAAAAAGTTTTTAATATCAACATCATATTGATTTTATAAACTTTAATTTCTATAAAAATTTACACCTAGCTACTCTTACAGGTATTTCTATACAGTATATGAATATGAAAATTATACAGTACTGTACATATAAAAAACAAAGGAGCTATGGTATAATCTCACAAAGCCATGATAGACGGCTTGCTCCAATTGTCACTGCAGTAAGCAAAGGAGTTAGGCTAGACCATTCTTAGATATGCCATACACAATACATTTTAAATTCTGGTTTACTAAAATTATCTTCCATTAAGTGCTAGTTGAAAAGTCTCGTTTCTTGATAATTCTGGTTTGCTAAAATTAACTTCCATTAAGTGCTAGTTGAAAAGTCGTTTCTTGATAATTCTGGTTTGCTAAAATTAACTTCCATTAAGTGCAAGTTGAAAAGTCTTGTTTCTTGATAATTCTGGTTTGCTAAGTGCTAAATTTAAAGAGTCAACTACACTCTTCCCTGGAGATATCAAACACCAGGAGGACTGGCTTAGGGTAATGGAATGAGTGCCAAGAAATAAAAGAAAATTAACAAGCTAATCACCTTGGCATAATGTTTGGGAGAGCCATTAACCAATCAACAACATCATGGGAGTTAGTTAGTTCTCCATTATAAACGGCCCGTTGTACTGACTGTGTTGCTCTCATCACTTCCATTAATACAACTTCTTCAAATTCATCAACATTTAGGTGTTTTTCTGGTAAGGGAACACCATTCATCAGGGCCTGCAAGAAGAATTTTGTTAGTAAAAAATATGAAAAGAGCTTTTTGTAAACATAGATTCCAAAAGCAGAAAGAAAACTGCAGCAAGAACACCCTACCATTTGATACTCTCTTACATTTCTACTGGTATTCTTTAAAGGAAAACTTTACAAAATCCTTAAAACCAAGATTTCTTCACAAAGTGAGATGATGTATTAGTTTAGAACACAAATCTTCATAAATTAGGCAAGTTTAAGGCCTTCTACATAAGAGTATATAATCAGAAAAAAAATATTTTATGGTTCTTAAACATGATTTGGGAGGACCATAACAGAGTTAACAGAGAGACACTGACAGCATGATTGATAACAATACCCATCTGTCCCTATGGCAGCTAAAGAAAAAAAAATAGCTCACCTGAGGTAAGTTAGTGATTCCTGCCTTCTCAACAAAATCTTGAGCAAGCATCCGACCCACATCATAATCTGAGTCTTCATCAAACACATCATCAAGGTCAATACTTGGGTACTTGCTCTTGAACATGTTAGTAACATCAGTAACAGTTACATCCTCCTGAGTGCTGGAATAAACCTGGAAAAAAAAATAATATAAATAAAAAGATACAGTGCTTAAATCATACGGTAATGGAATTAAATTAAAACAACATTTTGACCAAATGGAACCTCTTTGATATTATGTTCATTTGTACAAACTTGCGGTAAGATATCCGAAATAAATTTTTATTTATAGTCAACCCTCGCTTTACGCGGTACCACTTTACGAGTTTCCACGTCTACGCTGTACCCTGCTGAACATGGAATGCTCACTTTCCGCGGTGTGTGTACCCTTTTACGCGGAGAGCGGCGCGAACAGGGTGCGCACAAGGTCGCCCAGTCATCAAAACATTACCGAGTTCTTCACCCGCCACCCGCCACAGCCGGCCCAAGTCAATGATAGTGATAATGATAGTGAGGATATGGACTTTGAGGGGTTTAACAAAGAGGCCCTGCAAGCCTCTGTGGTGGATAGTGATACAATTGAGACAAGTGATACAGGTGAGGGCCAATAATCTGCCCTCTGCCTCGGAACCAACCCCCCATCCCCGTGTGCCCAACCATCTTTTCTACTAATGTAAGTGTTAAAAAACCTAATATTATTGACATTTCTCTTAATTATTAATTGTGTGTGTTTACCATCATAAAATTAAGAAGTTATTTTTACTACAACGTAGGTATTGTGTCTGAAAAAGTGGAGTTTGGGGTCGGCCCGGTCTCTATTTCAATTAATCCCATATGTTATGTTGTTCACTTTACGCGGGCCGCCGTGGGTTCAATTGACCGCGTAAAGTGAGGGTTCATTGTATGCTTTAGAAACAAACCTCAGATATACAGGCAGCGGAAACAGAGAATATATACAGTACAGTTAAATAACAATAGTAGATAAACTGTGAGCTAATAACATTTTATATAAGTTCATTTACCTCAATCAAGAACTGCAATGCTTTGTAGTTTGAATCTTCCCGACCAGCCATGTTCTCAGCCACATAGTTGAAGGCACACAGCATAGCTAACCCAGCATCATCATAGCCCCTCAAGGACTCCTCTGGGTTCACAGACATAACTAAACCAACACGAACGGGTGCACTGTGTGTTACGAAGCTTTCAACCAATCGTATTAAATCAGCTGTGGTCGACTTAACTGGATCAGCTACGATAACCTGAAAAAATTTACCAATAAGTTACGTAAAAATCATTCTAAAAGATAAAAAAATGTCTATACAAAAAACTCAAATATACTGGACGACTTAGAGGCCTGTGGTGAGGTAATTAATAATATACATCCTTCAGCTGACATATTATCTCATGTATTTCTCATCTAACAAGAATAAACAACTAGAAATAAAGTGTTGATGGTAAAGTTGTAGGGAAACCAGTATCAAGGACAGTACTGTACTTACTTTCCCCCATTCTCTCTACATCTACCAGCCAAAATGACCATGAAGAGAGACATCCACCTAATAACCACTCATTTAGTGCTAGTGGAGGTCATCTTTGCCAAGTGAAGCCATGAAATTTTGTATTTTTTTGGATTATATAAAGATTAGCATCCCCAGCTTATTTCACTTGATAGTTAACACCGTAATGCTAACATAACCTAACTTAACCTATCACTTCCCCTCCTTCAGGTAGGATTAGGGCCTTTAATCATCAGGAAAATGAAGCAGTAGGTATTAATCTTCACATGATCCTGTTTATCAATCATTCATGCAAACTCTTTCCCACTAGGGCACAGAAAAGCCACAACCAAGAACATCAGACTCTCCCCCTCCTTCACTGTCAATCATTCAGTCATTCTTTATTAACTTTTCTGCCATGGCTTCTCTTACTATAACTCCAAACAGTTACCAGGTTGTGGAGATTTTTCTTGATACTGCGCAGCATGCCAGGGTATGTCGGCCTAAGTAGTTCTCCTATTGTTGATGGCCACTTGCGGTAGGCTTTATCAGTTTCAATATTATTCATCCACATAATGGCTGAGTCCCGGATATCAATACCATATTCTTGGGTACTTTCACTGACGTCCAATTGCAGCAAAGTGCTCAAAGATTCTCCAGTCACACCTGTTGAGGATAATATAGATTATCATAATACTGTAATAATAATAATAATAACATTGTGATGATAATAATAACAATAATACTGAATAACAATAATACTGAACAATAATAATAATAATAATAATAATAATAATAATAATAGAAGCTCAACAAAATAATGAATGGTTACTTTGTCTACCCATCAAACAGATCCATCATATTCATACATAATACAATACCGTAACTGTAATTACCACAAGTTCTCAGATCGGTTTCTAAAAATAATACAAATCCATGGAAACATGTACCTTAGAAACTTATAAATACAATATATAGTCTATATTCTTTGGGTACTACATACAAAGCCAAACTATTGTAAGTTTTAAGAAATATTTCTTCCCTGGCATTCAGAAATACAGTACAGTGCTGTACAGTATCTTCTAAAAAAAGTTAACAACACATATAATACCCAATTATAAGTTCTGTAACATACAAACTCATTTCTAATCATGGCTTCAAAACATTTTATCTGCTACACACCATTAGGAGAGAACCATAATATTTATAATGTTAAAAGGAGACAGCAACTAAAGTCCATTTTATTTAAGCAAAAACCTGTAAAATACAATATCCCTCCCTAAGAAAAGGGGTGAAAGAGAAAATGGGTCCCATAGGCATGACTGCCTGTTAGGGAAAGTGAGGATACAACACACTGCATATTATGCCTTCGCTACACAAGGTGGCATCATGGCTGGCACTGCATTTGTGCACATTCACTTCCCAAAGTTGCAAACTCAGGTACCCATATGAAGTTGGGTGAATTGGTAGCACCCGGGAATCAAACTAACGACCCCTGGAACAGGAGGCGAGAGCTGTATCCATTTGACCCCAAAAGCACTCACCAAGTTTATGAAGACCTCCCATTACTCGCTCTTCACTACGGATGTGATCGAGTAGTGTGAATATATTGGTGAAATCCATGTCAAGGTGCATCCCATTGATAAATAGTGCAGCATCTGAGGGGTTCACTTCCATATGCTGGCTCATCTGGTTCTGGTTCTTCAGGATCTCACGCTTCATCTTCTCATCTACCTAGAAATGTTAAATTCATAAGTTTACACAATCCATGAAAGCTAACTTAAATGCCCAAACACTAACCTAACATAACTTAAACTACCCTTACACAACTAACTAACCTAACCTACCATAACTTAACCTAAACTAATCTGACCTCACATAAACTAACCAAATCTAAACTAACTGAATCTAACCTAATCCCTCCAGGTAACAGTAATATTTGAATCGTAAGGTGAAATAAGCTGTATTTTAATCCTCATGTGAACTGAAAGGTACCAAAAAATTTATGATAAGTACGAGAAGGCACAGATGTACAAGTGATAAAATAGATGGATAGCTTTTATCCATTAAATGCCTTTCACAATAACTTTAAAGTGCATCACAAGTCTACCAAAATCTTAATAGTGTACTGTACTTAAATTTTTATCATAAAAAATGCAAGTTGGTACGTAAAGCCTTACATAACTGAAAAATAGGTTACTTGTCCTATCTAAAACCAGGTGTACTAATTTATATTGTTATAATCAATCACATAATTTCCTGTCGCATTTAGGTAAGCAACAAAACACACTAACATGGGCATAAATAAATAGGAAAGTGAGAAGCTGAGATGCAATCATATAAATCATATGCAGCATCTACTCATATATATGTTGTACAGTATACTGTATAACACTCGTACTCCAAAACACATGAACAAATTCCCTCTTACTTCACTTTAGTAATTTTGTAACTGGGTTTTGGAATGATGTGTGTGGCCTCATTCCTCAATGTTAAAACATTGTCCTCACAAAATTTTGGACAAGTATATTACTGTAAAAGCATTTCAATAAATAAAATCAATATCAGTTGTTTAGTGACTGTCTCTGTGGGTGCCAAGTTACTCAAAATAGTACAGAATATAATTGTTCCATAGCATACCAAAAACAAGGATAATATTTATGTCAATGATTATTTCCAAACTGTAACACATACTTTTATCCTAACAAGTGAGCGAGCAAGCATTGGGAAGTTCTGTGCAGTGTGAACAAAGAGACCAAGCTGTTGATCTTGGGGAGCTGACATGATGCGCTGTGCAGCTTGCATACTCAAGTGTTGCAATTGCCAAACTTTCATTGGAGCCATTTCATGGCGTGACTCCTCCAGATGTTTCCTAAGTTGATTCAATTCCTCCTCTTTTTCAGGGTGGAGAGACCTGGAGAAAAACATACAGAAATTAAAACTTAAACTTTAATACAGTACTTGTATACATAAAAATTTAAAAGGAGAGTATTTTCCAAACTGGGAAATAAATGGAATAGCTACTTTCTTTAAAAAGACATTTTATCCCAAGACAGATTCTAGTTTCATTGAAAGAAATGACCATATCACAGTTTACGATACAACAGTGAAGAATTCTGAGCCATGCCTAACCCTTTCAACTTATTTTACCCCATATCTTATCTCCAATCTTCCACTGATGGGGTGACCAAGGCAAGAGAGCCTCCACAACACTACCATTATGTACCTCTCTATTCCCCGCATCTGCTTCCCTATCCTCTCATTGTAAAATGTAGTGAGTCTATACCATATCAGTGATCTGCTCTTCACCCATCTCATCACCACAGAATGTATACCCTGTGACTTCTCAGCCATTAGTACAAACAGCCTATACACCTGACTACTGTATTTCTCACCCCTTCCATTCTGGTACCCCACATGCACTTCCAAGGTAAATCATCTCTGTTGCTTAAATTCTGGGGCATTCCACTCCAAGTCTGTGTTTGACCTCCTTTACAAAGTACATCTTCCAAACACCACTAGCCACACTAGCCATATAGTGCTCCTTACCAAGTCCTTTTCACTACTTACTGTACACTGCACTTTATTTTATTTAATTCCTTTCACCACCTACCATAAATGCACTTAACTTCATCAAAAAACTTTTACCATGGTAAGTATTTGTCGCATCACAGTACTTGAGCATAATTATGTTTCCAAAATAGTGACAACTGTCTACTGTATCTACTGTATTGTCTCTAATTCAAAATCTTTCACTTCCCAGACTATACAAAGCAACATGAATAGGTGGAATTTCAACTCTTTACCGTAAAGAATACAGAAATCCTATACGGTAAGCCATAATGATAAAAGTAACCTTGTCTTTTGATCCTATTACCCCTAAAACTATATGCACACCAACATCCCACCACTTAATTCTTTCAGGAAACAAAACATAGAGACAGATACAGATAAGTAGATTCAGATCCTAACTGTTGTTCAAAATATTTGAAACTGAATTTGACTCACTCTAATTTTGAGAACAGGAAGCCCTCAACCTCCACCTCCTGTTCTTCATCCTCTTCATGCCTCTCTTCATCTTCCTGAACTTTGGTGTCATCTTGAGCCTTGTACTCAGTACTCTTGATCGCCAGCTCTACTCCATACCCACTCAATCGAACTTTCTTGGACGACCGATTCTGTTGCAAATATTATTTACCTTACTGGACAAAATAATGACATTTATGAAGTTTCACACACCATAACACAAATTACTAAACAAACTAAGCCACATTTGAATGTTCACATCTTCAATATGAGAAAATTTACTTGTATTATTCATACTTACCAGTAATAAGTTCTCTATTCAGCAAAAAATATATCCACAAATAATTTGTAATATTCATGAAGAATTACCGACTTTGAAGATAATGAATGACGAAAGTAAAAAACAAAAAACAAACGTAATTAATAATATGACTGTTCTCTGACAAAACTGATGACAGTGACAAGATTATACTAATGACTGATGATCAAGATTACTTTGCCTTCATGACATGGGTTTGGTTAATATAGACAGAAATATAGCATTCACTGTACTTACTTTAACTCTGTGACGAAGAATGTAATCAATTTTTCCAGCACTCACAAGCTCCTTCAGGATTTGATGGAACTGCTGGAACTCGACTGATCCTAATTCACAGTACAGCACCACCCCAACCTGGTTTATAATGAAGTTACAGTACAGTATTGGATCAGACTTGAAATTCAGTGTCTAAGACTAACTGAACCCAGAAAAACTGATATTCACAAACAATACTAAGCTGAATACCATCAAATTAGTTCATTCAGACTGAAAAGTTTTCAAAAAATTGTCCAAAAGACCACAACTATATTTGTAGTAATGAAATACAAGACAGGTAGGTTTCCATAGTAAAAGATTGGTTACTATCCTAGCCACACCTGAAGTCACCCTTCTGATAAATATTTTATAAGTGATTTATCTTTATTTGTGGTCTAGAATGTAATATAAATATTGTATTGTATTTTAATCAAAATACTGAATGTTTATTTACTAACTGTAACAAAAAAATTTTTGGATATGTAAGACAAAACAGTACATGGAAGAGATCTTTACTGACAATACTTTGGCATGGCTCCTGGCTAGCAGTGATACCAACGGTTATCATTTCCAGATTCATATAATATTATGACCTCTAATAGCGTAAATATATTTCCAGTATGGTATTTAGCCAAAATATTATTTAAAAAAACCATGAGGGAACCAAGTGCAATGATGAGAAAAACTCAATTTTAAATAATAGGCTTTCTGTGCTTATAATGTGGCACCAGTAAATGAAACAATTTTAGAAGATAGTTTCAGTACTGTACAGTAGAGAATTTGTTTCTAATCCATCACATAGTAGAGTATGTGTGACTTTTGTATGAAACTTCCTTATTCATTTGGTCTTAAACAAGTTTTCCTAAAATTGTCTTTCCTCTGAAAAATGCATCACTATCCTTTATTGTATGAGGAAGGAATATTATTCATCTTTTGTTTTTATTCTTTTATTTACTATAGTATGACATAAATGTATTCATGTTCTAAAATGTAATGTACAGTACTGTAATGTTATCCAACTACAGTACAAAATGTCTATTCACTAACTACAACACCAGAAACTGCACAATTGCCTGACAAAACAGTACAGTACTAGGTAGAGGCCTGGATAATGCTTGCTTATAATGCCTAGGTGATGATGATAAATCTAAAAGCATATAAATGTACATTACATAGAATATGAAAGGGTTATGTTACAAATCATAATTTTTTGATACTATTCACCTTTAGTAATGAACAAATTATAATTAATATTATTACCTTGGCATTTTCTCCACCGGGATAATGATGATCAACTTCATATGTGATGGGTTTTGTTCCAGTTCCCTTCTCCACAAGTTGTCTCATTGTCTCAATGTCACACGTCACCTCACCATTAACATCCACTGCTGCTCCACAATTCTCAGGACTTGGAAGACCTCTGTCACGAGCTATCTGACTGAACATTTCAATCTTTGGAGAATACGCTCGCAATGATAAGCTGAGCTTTAATATACGAAGCTGAGAGGCAGAGAGGAACTGTCCTGCCACTGAGAGTGTCTCCGCAAATATTTCCTTATCACTTCCTGGTTGAAAGAATGCACAATTATGGTTTTTCAAAAATGTAATTTGAACATATTTAGAATACTATACTGTATATACACTCCTCGCCATTGCATTATGCGCGAGGTGGCCGACGGGAAGTGATCTTTGCTGAAGTGTCTCACACCCCTCCACGCCAGCCACCTGGGCCAGAGGCAGGCATTGTAAGTCTGGCAGCGAAGGGAGACTCGAGGACAAGTCAGCCAGTAATCAAAACGTTCACCAGCTGCCAGCGTAAATTTTATGAATGAAGATTTATGAGTTTTACCCCTCCGACAATGCTCCTATTTATTGCCACAACGCCTGTTGATTCCTTGCTTTTTTTTACCACAATGGGCAAGAGGAAAGACTTAACAAAAGAGCAGATAGCGTCAATTATTAGTCTGCATAAGGGCAAGAAACCTGCAAAGGAAATATCAAGAATTGTTGGTGTGAGTGAATGATCAGTTCAGATTTGGAATAAATGATTTCTAGATGACGGTGGGTTGGCAATACCAGTGCACAGCGGATGGCCAGGAAAGGCTAGAAAAACTTCCCAACGCACGTTAATTGTTCTTAAGAGGCAACTTGATGCTAATACACCTCTAGATGATGTTTCTGTAAGGACCGTTCACTGCCGCATCAGTGACGACCTGCAGTTTCGCTGCCACCGCGCACGCAAGAAGCCACTCCTCACCCTTGTCCAGAGGTAGCGTAGGGTCGCTTTTGCCAAGGCTAATGCTCAGTGGGATACGACCAAGTGGTTGCACGTGCTGTGGAGTGACGAGGCAACGTTTTCTTTTACTGGAAGTCGTACCTAAAAATGTGTACAGGCGCCCCCGGGAGTGATTCGCTTGACCCCAAGTTCACTTTTAGCACAGTTATGCAGCCTGAGTCACTAATGGTGTAGGGTTGCTTCTAGTACTTTGGAACTGGTGACCTTGTTGTGCTACCTAGGAATGTGGTGATGAACCAATTTAACCACTGTACTTGGAGCTGCTTTGTGATTATTTGCCTGGGTCTTTTGAAAAATGCTGTGCTGATGTGTTTATGCAGGATGGTACCCCATGTCACACAGCAAAATCTATAATACAGGAACCATGGCATGTTGACTGTCAGGTAGACTTATTAGGTGATTGGCCAAGCAATTTGCATGACCTTAACCAGATAGAAAATAAGTGGAGCATTATCAAGCTTCGTCGACAAGGCAAGGACAGGAATACCATCCCCAAGCTGGAGACTGCCATTCGTGAGGAGTGGAATAATTTAGACCCACAAATAGTCCACAACTTGGCAGTCAGTACATTCACACCTGCAGGAGTGTATCAAGAGAATAGGGAGGCCCATAGACTACTAGAAGTTTGTTAACTTGTCAGAATATTTTTTTATTTATATTTCATCTTGTTGTTTATGTCCATCACGGCCCCGTGCATAATGCAATGGCAAGGAGTGTACAGTATAAGGTAATAAAAAACTAAATATTAATAATACAAAAGTCTTTTACAATTGTAGGAGATACAGCACAGATAATAAGCATTCAACACTATATATTCAATTATTATCCTGGAAACAATTTGAAAATTTAAAAAAGGAAGATCTTACCATCTCTGTATAGTACTGGATCTGTTTGAGAAATAGCTTCCGCAAAACTCCAAAATGAAGCTGTGCTTTCCTCTCTCATATATTCTGTAGCCTCCAACAACAGTGGAGTATGAGTCCATTTTGCTGAAAGGTGTGTGGTGACGGGCTTCACTTTGGCCTGCCCTCGTACTTCCCCAGTCAATAACAGTAGGGTACAGAAAGCCCACAATAGGGATAGTAGAGACTCTCTCATCCTTGAAGTTTCTGAAGAGAGAAAAACTCTTTACTTCCATGCTTTTGTGGGGGCACTACCAAACCTTAATAACCTAACCTGGACCAATTTAATGCCATGTTCCTAGCCAGGGTGCCCCGGCCATCAAGTCATGATTGGTGAGGGTTGCATCATAGTCGACACATGCTGATTTCATCGACAGACACTCATTTTACGTGATCAAAATATTGCTTTTACAGTATCTCCATGATTATCAATTTGCACAAGAAGTAACATAAAAGAAATTTTATTCAAATATTAATTTCTATATAAGAACCTATTTTCATCATGCAGTCCAGGTAATGTGCTAAACCGAATATTAACCAAACAAAGGAACTTACATAAACCAAACCTGAAACTAAGATCTAAAAAATATATATTTCCCACAAAAAAGTAAGAATGCACATGTGCAGGAGTATCGCATGACTAACACTTCTGCTGACTGGCTGAGTAAGAAGCAAACAATGTACAGTATATCCCCACGAACTTGTACTCTCTTAGGTGAAATAAAAAAGTGAAAAATAACTAAAATACAATAAATTTCCGGCGGAAATGCTATACTACACAGCGAAACCTCCATATAACGGACATCTCTCACCATATAATCCATTACTGTTTTTTTTTTACATATAACAGACCCTCGATATATGAAGGACTTTCATCTCAATACAACCCGTTAAATAGAGTTTTCACTGTAAAGTATTTTTTTTCTATCTCCATATATAAGAATCAATGTAAAGTTTCATGCATGGTCACTAGAGAATACTGTATTAATCAATTTTTCTACCAATGATAAAGGCCTCATTACCTCAGGAAACATAAAAAACACAAGATGACATCATCAAAGCAGGCATATAAAAGCAACATGTCATTATTATTTACAGAAAAAAAATAGGGACAAAAACCTGATTGGCTTCAGTCTTGAGTTAATACATGTAAATGGTAATTAAGAGAACACAGCTACCCCTAGAAAGAGTTCTGATCATTACAGTTTAATAAGTAGTGCGTTTTGGTAATACAGTCATGGAGGAGATGGCTAACACCAGAAGTTGTTCAATTTTGTTCATTACCTCCACAGATTTTCTAATCATTATAATAAGTACTTTAAAAAGGCAACTTTATATTTTAATTAAAAGTATCATTATTTTTTTATTCCCCATTTACAATCATTAATCACCTGTAGTAGGCATGTGCTTTGTACATGAATAAATTAATTACTGTACTCTGCATTTACCATAAATACTTATAAAAATAATCTGTGGAGTCACCACATGTTGGCTGTTTGTTTACAACCGACTTCTGTGGTCCAGGTGTACTCTCATGTCCACAAAAAAAACATAAGATTACAACATGATGCTTCAACAAGTTGCTGTCATTGGTACCAGATAACAAAATACAGTAAGGACTTTCTGATTAATATGGCGGTGGTCTGTCTCCTGGCTAGAAAGTGAGGGAAGATTAGGTAGGTTTCTTTGGTTGGTTAGGTACAGTATTAGGTTCGGTTAATATCCGTCCATTGGCTGTCCGCAGGTTCCCGCGTGTTTACTTAAGGCTTTACTCCTCATTTGAGTCACTTGTCTCCTCCTTGTAGGTTAGGTAGGTTGGTTGGTTCCTTTGGTATGACAATTGTTTTTGTATGTTTTTTTTTGTGTCTTACTCAAACCTGACCTCTATTCATATGCAAATTAGCAGTTTGTTAAAAATGAAATATTAATTTTTTGCAAAAACCGATAATTTGCACATGAAATGAAGGTCAGATTTGAGTAAAACATACCAAAACCACCAAATAAACCTATTTTCGCTCCAAAACCTGAGTACAGCCAATGGACGAATATTTACTATAGGTTCTAGTAAATGTCGCTTCTTAAAATACTTCCAATAATGATAAGAACATGTGGAAATAATAAAAGAAATCAAAGAACTTCTGGTGGTAGCGGTGTTCTCACACGTACTGAATAAATAAGTTTTCTTTTATATAAATTTTCCCTAAGATGGTTGGATGACCTGGGCAACTGGACTTAAATATTACCAAATAGTGTACTGTACTGATGAAATATCTAAAATATTCCCAAAAACTACTTGGTGCAATCTCTACTGCATACAGTACATGCATAACAAGCCAATGAACAACTCGGTGTTAAATCAACTGTAGCCATATTTAACGGGTCCGACTAATTACCCAAATGTAGCCAAATATAGCCGGAATGAAGTCAAATAATGGTCCTAGATGAATAAATCGGTCTGCCAATCACTTCTCGACTAGTATTTGGTGTCACAAAGTCACAAAAAATTGGTAAACTTAATTTAATCTGAGTTAATAGATCGAGTGCATGTAACTAACCTAACCTAACCTAACCTAACCTAACCACGACTAGTATTTGGTGTCACGAAGTCACAAAAAATTGGTAAACTTAATTTAATCTGAGTTAATAGATCAAGTGCATGTACCTAACCTAATCTAATCTAACCTAACCTAACCCAACACAACTCAGATTAAATTAAGTTTTCCAATTTTTTGTGACTTTCTGACACCAAATACTAGTCGAGAAGTGATTGTCAGACCGATTTATTCATGTAGGACCATTATTTGACTTCATTCCGGCTACATTTGGCTACATTTGGGTAATTAGTCGGACCGATATTTAACAAATGACACTTCTTGTAGTCAAGCAAAATTTTCCTGAAGTTTGTCCTCTGTGATACAGTATTTCACTCCTACAATATACTACAGTTAGGACACTTGAGTAAATCAACGGTACATGTAGCTTTTATATTCTATATATAAAAGTTCCTGTAACTGACAAGAACATAAGTAACACTGTCCAGAATAAGACTTAACCTGTTGGTGTGTGTACTTCAGGATATTTAATTCAGTCCCATTTGAGTAAAAAAAAAAGATTTATAAAACGAAAAACATCAATATCCCAATAAAGGAGTAAAATTGGGTAAGAAAGGTCAATCTTAAAGTAACAATAGTGGCCTCCCAACAAGCTATGACACCACTATTGTAACTCTCTGCGACACATAAGTGAACCAACGTGTGTCTAGAGTTGCAGACAAGACTATGAGTTATTACCTGCAGTTTAGTAAGCTTAAGAGTGTGGAGGCGGTAAAACCATCGTCTACTGTCAGTTGGTAAACACTTCAGCAACAACACATGTTTATAACTCTCACGATCTACGACTTAAACCGTTTAAGGTGACGACCACTGCCACTATTAACGCTCCTTGATCCTTCAACACTGCCACCATTAACTCTACTTGATCCTCCAACACTGCCACTTTGATGCTCTTTTGTTTTATTGTTTACACGTCTTGACCCGCGTATACTACAGGCGGTCCAATCAGAGGCCGCCGTGTACTGTGAGCCACTGCCACCACACGGATTTTGATGATGAATATACCTAACTACCTGTCTTAACGCGCCATTTATCTATAAAATATAATCCAAAAGCTTTATATATATATAATTAGATCAACTGTTAACTAAAATATATGTTTATGTATCATTTTCAAAAGTGAAATCAGTATAATACGTAATTCTTTACTTTGCCAGGATTTAACCGGCATAAATAAATAAGTTAATTAATTTCGAAATAAAGACGACTATGGATTGTTTCAGATCTAGAGAACTCCATCTTGTACACATAATCTTGTTTATTGCTCCTAAAGACGTAAGTCAGAATTCTAGTTTCTAAAATTAGGGTTGCCGTATTTTCCATCTCACTGTCGACAGGAACAGACATGGGGACGGTGTTTGTCCTAAGAAACGATTTGGCTTATATCCTTAAATCAGACAATATACTGTAGAGTCTTTATGGCTGGACTGGAGATATTGTTATCTCAAAGTAAACCCATCCTAGAAGGCACGCAAGTCCTTACTGCCCAAGGACTAAAAACAGTCTCTTATCCTTGCTACTGCCCACCCAAGTGACCCAATGGAAGTCAAATTGTGGAACACTTTTCCAGAATAAACTACAAAATATTGATGGATGTCATGGAACAAATTGCACGGAGGTAAAGATGGCCTCGGGGAAGTCCAAACTACATAACCGCAAGCAGTGTGTGGTGATTAACGGCACGAAATCATCCTACGTGCCTGTCACAAGCGGGGTACCACAGGGTAGTGTATTGGGCCCGCTGTTGTTTGTTTCTTTCATAAATGACATGCCTGACGTTGTACACTTTTTCATATAAATGTTTGCCGATGACGCCAAGTTATTTCGGGAAATCAAGAATCAAGTGGACTAAGAAGAGCTGCAGAAGGACCTCTGTGGGCTCCAAGAATGGTCGAAGAAATGGCTGCTGAGATTCAATGTCACGAGGTATAAGAGGATGCACCTGGAGCGTACCAACGGTAAGGAGGCGTACCATATGTCCCAACGGGATGAAAAAACTGCACTATTTGAGACTGAATGTGAAAAGGGCCTAGGTGTGTATGTTGACAATGAGCTGAAGTTCTCGGGCCATTGCGAGAAGAAGGTAAAGCAAGCAAATACATTATTGGGTCTTATAAGAAGGTCGATTAGATATCTAGACGGTCCACCCCTCGTAACGATCTTCAGGAGTGAAGTGCTTCCCAATCTGGAGTACTGTCACCCCGTCTGGTCCCCGCGATATGCTAGGGACTGTCAATTGGTTGAAAATGTTCAAAGGGGGGCCACCAGACTGGTGCCTACCCTTCGGTGTCTCAGCTACCCTGAGAGATTGGAGCAAGGGGTGACCTAATAGAGGTGTATAAGCATCTCAAGGGGCACTACTCAGTCGAGTGTCCTTACTTGGAGCTGGCGGACGCTCGCCCCACAAGGGGTCACAGGTCAAGATTGAAGAAGCCGCAAGTCCAGAAAACTGTGAGGGCAAACTTTTTCGGAGTGAGGTGAACTCTTGGAACAATCTACCAGAAAGTGTTGTGACGGCACCGAGTGTGAGCTCTCTCAAGACAAGACTTGACCAACACTGGAGCAGGTTCAGGTACTGTACATTCAGGAGCCGGTACATGCCCAGTACTTGCCAACAGTGCGTAACAGAGACGTGACCGATCGCCCAAGCGGCTAACGAGCCGATCAGTGGCGAAGAGGATAAAAGTAAAGTATAATATAAATTCATTTAATTCATATGATTAAAGGTGTTACCGTGGTATTAAAGAGACCAACAGAGTATCACTATAATTAAATGGCTAATAATAATAATAATGACAGTAATAATGATAATATTATTTATTATTGTTATTATTATTATTATTATTATTATTATTATTATTATTATTATTATTATTATTAACAGTGTGGTAGATCATGGCAGCCATACAGTGTGATAAAATATAGCAGCCATACAGTGTGATAAAATATAGCAGCCATACAGTGTGGTAGATTATAGCAGCCATACAGTGTGGTAGATCATGGCAGCCATACAGTGTGGTAGATTATAGCAGCCATACAGTGTGGTAGATACATAGCAGCCATACAGTGTGGTAGATTATAGCAGCCATACAGTGTGGTAGATCATGGCAGCCATACAGTGTGGCAGCCTACCCAATGTAAACAAATTTTGATTATATACAAATTAGAGTTCTTACACCAATGCTTTCATAAATATCATACATAAATTACGGGCTAATAATTACACTAGTCCACCAACAAATAAACATTATGAGAATGAAGCTGTGTACAGGTATCATTTGTATCATGAAATATATTTTTATTAGTAAATAACATCTTTAAAACCCCTCAACACTACAGGTTTGTTCACTCAGTAATACTTAGGTAATATTATATCCAGTAGAATTGACCTTATTAGTTTATTTAATTGCGAATAATAACTATCAATAATTTTATACATGATGAAACTAATAAAATAATTATTTATTTAATAGTTTCTGAAAGTGAAATAACCAATATAAAGAAAATAAAAGATAATATACTCGTTATGTAACCCATTTTTAACCAAGTCACTAACCAAAATAGCAGCCGTAGACCGAGGCTGATGAGAGAGACATTACCTTGGTGACAATTACTACCCACAAGAAACTCCAATGGATATATAAAAATGGAGTTTACACGACGGATATTACAGACATGAAGAATTACGTCCGATACTAGAGGAGTTAAATAAGGGAGGTAGAGACAAGATGGTTCAGGTGGGGTTCATCACACTATCCCTGGGCACCTCTGCAGCTCTGTTTGGGGCGGTTATTATTGGGGTATATGTGGTATTTGGTGGACCTACTGACATACACAAGAGAAGGAGAAAGAAAGGTGAGAGATATATATTTTATTTAGTACTTTTGGAATTAAGTTTTGGTTAAAGTTCCTCCTTTTTTTTGTTTTTTCATTGGGTTAGGTTAGGTTTACACACCGGAGGGTTAGGTCAGGTCCTTCTGGTTTCTCTGGTTAGGTTAGACATGTTTACTGATATTTGTGGTGTTAGATTTGTTAAGTTTGGTTTTGTCAGCTCTATAAAGATTTATTTTGTGTCTCCCTATATGTAGTATACTAATCAATGTACTGTACTGCAGGGTCTGTGCATGGTTACTATGGAATATTTGCCATTTTTTAAGTGTTAAAATATAATGAAATCAGTATTTTAGTTTAGGTTAGGTAGTTTAGTTGGTAGTACATTTTATTTAAGGTAAAATATCAACAGTCCCCCCTCGGAAACTCCTGGTCACTGCTAACATTCCTGAATTACAGTATATACTGCTGCATTTTGTAAGTTGTGATTATAAAAATTAACTAAACTCGCCTGAAATAAAACCTAACCAAAAATTTATTTATTTTTTATTTAGATCCATTGTACCTACACGCTATCATTGTGATGAAAACAATATGGTGCTGGTTATGTGGCATCCCTTACCGGAAACTATAAATAATCATAAATTTTTTATTACTCAACACATATTGCTTGTGCACTTTTCATTGATTTCATGAAGAAACAAAACCTTTTATGTTTTCTGGTGAAATATCCTACAGTAGTTAAGGTGGGTAACTAATCTGAACTAATATTATTGTTTACATCTATTGTATGCCTAAACCAGCAACTTAAGGACATTTTACCATTCAAGATACAGTATGGTTTTACTGTACATCTCATGAGGACAAAAAAGTTTTTTGTAATACTAATTATTAATTTTTTTTTCTCCATCGAGAATGTTAATTTTTCTTTATTTACATCCAGTGGCTTTGGGATGTTTTGTTGAGTTACTTTCATAGACTGGAATTTTTTGCTATCTCATTTTGGTTTCAGATTATATACCTGGTTTGGCGAATATTGGGAATTCGTGCTTTCTGAATGCCTTGGTGCAGTCACTGGCATCTTGTCCTCTGTTCATCACATGGCTCAGCTCTAAGTTTTCGGACTCGGCGCCACCACTAGTGTCTGCCCTCCACAACTTACTTAAAGGTAGGTGTACCACTTGTATATTATTATGGCATTTACCAAAGTGTGAGCTTGATAAACCAATGACCCATGTTACAGTATTTGTCTAACCAGTTTTAACCATTACGAGGTTAAATTAGTGTAAGTTCAATTTATTCATTATCTCCCTAATGATTGAGGAAATAAAGACGGAGTGATTGAATGTATACTCTGATGTATCTCCAAATGAAAATACATTAACTTCAATGCCTTTATTTGAACACACACTCGTATACAGTATACTACTGTTTAAGTGCAAAAAGTCCTGCACATGATACTGTAAAGTATTTTCAATTGATACAATAGAAACATTAAATATCCAAAAACATGATACAGTAATAATATTAAAAGAATTAAAGTGGAAAGTTAAAGGTATACAAGACTTACCTTCCTCTTAAGTTATTCGGTATTCTACTCTTGCAGTGTTTATCATGTCAGTTCTTTTACCTCTTGTATGCCTTTAACTTTCCACTTTAATTCTTTTAATATTAATAGTATGTCTTTGGATATTTAATCTTTCTATTGTATCATTTGAAAATACTTTACAGTATCATGTGCAGGACTTTTTGCACTTAATGCTTGTGTAATAAAAGTCAGTCATAATATTATTTAGTTAGATACTGTACTCTGTTGTAGTTTGTCTCCCTCAAACTTTTCACAAAGGAGAAACAAAGGATTTTGGAATAAGGTACATTACTCCTTTTAGTATTTTTCAAGAATATCACAAGTCTTCCATGACATTCTTACAGTACTTAATAATGAAAGTGACCTTCATGGTGATGCCTGTGCTGGGGAAGTGCTGAGTGCCCTGAGAGGACATGGCTGGGTCATCTCATCAGAAGAACAAGACACCCATGAACTTTTCCATGTACTCACTGCCACTATTGATGATGAGCTTGTGAGTGCTTCCATTGTACCCTCACTTCTGGATGTCTCGTGGGTGGATATCAACTGTATGGATTCACTACAAGATGGGGTGATTGTAAAAGCTAATTCCTGGGGACAGAGTGATGAAGATAGTGGCAGGAGACATGAATATGTAAAAGAAAAGAAAATACAAAAAAGAAATACGAGTGCAAATATAGATATTAGAAGTAACAATGTTTTATCAAATGTACTAAATGGAATATTGACTGAAGATAAACATGAACAACCATTTGGGGTTTTTGCTAATGGAACTGAGACTCAGTCAGATTACAATGATGGTAGAATTGTCAATGGTTCATCTTTTGATGTTGCAAACAAACAGAGCTGTGATAATAAAGGTTGTGAGGGTAGTGATAAGGTAAAGGAGTCAAGTCATAGTACAAGTGAGAATCACATAGCCAGTAACAGTGCTGACACATTTAACATGGATAGTCCTTGTGATACCACCCCGGAATGTAATCATATTGATATCAAAGTTTATAAAGGAAATAAAACTGATGGACAAGTGGCTGAAAGTGTAAACGAAGATAATGAAAATTACAAAGGCTTTGCATGGAGAAACAAGGCTGACAGAGAGTTGTGTGTGGACTCTCTTGTAACACAAGCTCGGGACAGTGAAAACACCTACTGGAAAATTCATGGTGATCATCATGACAGTCCTTTCAGGGGATATTTGGCCAGCCAGTTGCAGTGTACCTTGTGCGGACAAAAGGTAGGTGTTGTGATTATTACCACTTCCTAGCTCCCACTTTTGCATATACAATTTCACATCCCAAGCTTCTACTATCACGTTCGAAGGTGCCAATTACAGTACAGGTACCAGTTTAACCAACTTCATCCCGTGACTTTTATCTATTTCTTTGTGTATTATGGGAGATATTACTGGTACAGTACAGTATTGTACTGTATAGTATTGGCTATTGTATGGCACTACTGCAAAAGATTGCTCATCCTACACCCTCCATGAAGAATTTTAATACACTGTACATGTAATAAGAAAGTTGAATTTGTTTTTTACTGAAGACTGTTACACATTGATTTGGTCATTGTGCGAGTTAGGCTTTTGTTCTGGAGAACTGAAGAGTCTTATAGCATTTAAGATAGCAAAATGACTAAAGCTGGGAAATTATTGTGAATAGGAGTATTTAGTCAACACTTTTTTAAGCAGATAATCTGAACCTCATACTAGAACCCTTAGATAATTATGATTAGGTTAGATTTTCTTTCAAGAGTTGTTATTATAATGTTATTACTGCACTTCAACAACTAAGGTCTTCCAGCAATATTGGGTCTGGTTAGTACTTGGATGGGTGACTGCTTGGGCCTAAGAACACCAGATGCTGCTGGAATTAAGACACTACTGGAAAGAAGTCTCTCATGGCTTTGTCAGCTGTCCGTGGTCAAATTGACTGAACAACAATCACTTTTATTTATGCAAACTTTTTCTGAGTATGAGAGAATGAGCAGATATATAAGAAAATATTCTCTATGTGATTAATCTTTCAGAACCCTGCTCAGTGGACAAGCTTTGAGTCATTGTCTTTGTCTCTTCCATCACTGCCATGGGGAGAGGTCACACTGCAGGAACTCCTGGACTCGTACATTACACAAGAAAAAGTAACTGATGTGACCTGTGACAACTGTACAAAGATATCTGGATCCAATATTAAGACCACATTTATCAAGCAACTGACCATTGGGAAAGTAAGCTTTGAATATCTTAATTGTTGACTTTTGCTTCTAAGAGCCATGTCTACAATGGGGAGATTTAACAATGGATTAGGCTCAGTTGCAAATGATAAGAGATGACCTGGGTTTTCAACTGGTAAACTTTTGGGTAAATACAGTACAGTAGTCATATGGTCCAGTCATTTGGTCACAAACTCAATTTAACAAAAGAGTAAATTTAAGGAAAGACACAAAGTCATTGACTTTTCTTTCAACCTCATTAAATTAAAGGGTCATCTTTTCTTTAATGAATGATTCATATGGTGGGAAATGACGTCAGTTGATGAACTAATGAGTCACTAATTACTCAAGCCACTTAGGACATAAACATATAGGAGTTAGTGCTGCATGTATGGCAAAATATCTGCAGGGAATCAATTGAGATATGCCTTTGTAAAATTTTCACCTCCTGTTGTTTCTTTTCTTTGAACCATATACAGTACTGTAATTGGTAAATGAATTTGAGTTACTAAATGTGTTGCCTTTTTCTGAAGAAATACATTTTAAGAGTTACGTAGTTTAAAATTATTGATAATTTCAGCTTCCAGATTGTCTGTGTTTTCACATCAAGCGCACTGTGTGGCTGGAGAATGGGTCAGCAATCAAGCGCCGAGACCACTTGATCTTCCCAGAGTTCCTTATAATGGACCCCTTCACCTACACCACTTCCATTACCACCCAGGTATAGCATTTGACTTTCTGGGAGTTGTCTTCTTATTTATCAGATGTATTTTGGCATCTAACTCAAGTACTGTATTAACTTCGTTTCATAATGTTGGTATCATATGCTAAATATTTCATGGGATTCATGTAGTAAGATATAATAAAGTTAATGCGACATGTACTACTGTATATAATCCTTCTGGGAATTTCGAAGGTGAGTTTGAGAAGTTGTAGATATTATTTTTCTGGAATAACATTACTGTATATACAATTTCCAATAGGGACAACAAAATCGCAGAGTTGTGGAACAAGATGGTAACAGTGTACCCAACAGTACTTACTCATCGGGAAACAGTTGCCAGTACCCGATCTCCTCCATCATAAGTGAGAATGCTACATCCTCCCACGTTGAAGCCAGGTGACCTAAGTGTACTCTTTTCCAATACCCTCTGTACAGTATTATTTTTTGGCCAAGGTCTGTTGATGAAGTAGTACATTAGCTGGCCATTTCTAGGCATGGTAACACTACTATTTAACTACAGTTAAGCCAGGGAGGTTTTTGGTAATTATACAGTGGTGTAACCCACAGATCTTCCGTGCATCTCCTTAGCCATAAAACAGAATTTCATTACTTAGCTTTTCATTCATGAAATTAGTACAAGTATTTCTCGAGATTAGTTTCCCCAAAAAACATTCGTTAGGTAAATTTTTGTGTCACAAATAGATAAACATATGGGAGGAAAGTGACAGAAAATACCTCAATATCATACCCCCAAAACACAAAATCGGTTCACAAACAAGAACAAAACCTGCCTAACTAACCAAACACATGAAAAAATCAAATAAAATACTGTTTAACTTTGGTACATTACCTTATGGGAGGGCAGTCTGAGCTCACCACCACAAGGGGGTGAGCAGGGGTGGGCTGAGTAAGGGCTTCATTCAGCGAGATGAGGAGGATTGTCCTCCTCATCACTGCTGTCTGCCAAGGAAACCACAGTCGCACCAGAGATGGAAGGAATGGCAAAAAATCTGCTGGTAGGAGGAGTGGGACTGGAAGCTGAAGCTGCAGGAAGCAGTTTGAAGGTGGTGATGCATCTGAAGAAGGAGCATATGGTGGGTTGTCTTGCCTTTCTCTTCAGCTGTTGTTAATATTTCCAGTTGCTTGGTTGATATATTCAGCATGCTCGTAAATTGTAGCCACAGTACAAGCAGCTAGACCAAGATCTTTCCCAATCTTGGTCGGGCCATCACCGTGTTCATGACGGTTAATTACTTCCAGCTTTGTCTCAAGAGTCACAGCTTTTAGTGGTTTCTTCAGTGTAGCACTGGCAGCTGAAGATTCAGCAGAACAACTTGGATGCCATAATGAAAGGATGGCACAATTACACACACACATAAAAGAGAGATCATTTTACACACACAATGAATGGCAGGAGGGAGGGGGGAATGATTAGTGAGCAAGATTATATCTGCGCATCATCTCCCCAAGATGGGCGCTTTTGTTTCTTGAAATAGCGATGTCAATTCAGGAAATTTGTATAAGCGTATTTTCGCGTCTTGAACGTTTGTATATCTAGGGATACCTGTACTGTATGTAGTCTTTAGAATTTTTGTATTAGCTTCTATCAGTTCTGAAGTTTTGTGATCATATGGACTCTCATTTTTAGTAGTAAAGTAGTAACAACAAAAGCTTATCTAGGTAGTTTCAATAATGTATAGTAAAATGATCAAACCTCCAGTCAAAGAAACGAGTACAAGCATCAGAGAGAAAGTACAAACACTCCTATGCCCCCTTGCAGAACATATACAGTAGTCATAAATGTGGACTGACAAAAAAAAAGGAAACATGCATGTACACACGCAACTACAGTAAATGTATTTCTTTTCCAGCCCCTTCGTCCATGTGAGGCGGGTTCGCTACGAGCAGCTGTACCGCCTGAAAGCTGTTATTGTTCATGTGGGAGATGTCTTTTGTGGACACTTTGTAACTTATCGTCGTGGACCAATTGGTTCACGTACAAGGAACAGGCAAGTCATATACAGGGGGTTCCCGGGTTACGAACAGGTTCCGTTCTTGAGGACGTTCGTAAGTCGGATTTGTACGTAGGTCGGAACACATGCTGTATGCATACCATACTTACAAAACAATGTTTAAAATCCCACTATATCATAGCCGAAGTCCTTATGTACATCTAAAATCAATTTAAGACAAAAGATGTAGAATGACAAAATAAGGTACCGGTAAATGAAAGTAAAAACAAAATGTCATTGGTTAAATAAAAATCTGTAAATTTCAAGTTAACCCCGTTTGTATCAGTGTTCGTTCGAAAGTTGGGGACCTCCTGTTTTACGTTTTCACCGTTGTGGTGAGAATCATTAATGACCTATATTATAGGGGATGTGGATTACCTTGCTAAGGTTACATAGGTAAAATTAATATGATAGTACCTGAGGTTTAGCTTTGGATACATCATTTTTAAAAAGCTAAAGTTTGATGAAGCAAATGGCCTATGGGTGTGTTGCATTGTTGAAATATTTTAAAGTGTGTTTATGAGAACATCCGTGTATTTATTTGGGGGATAAGGTAGTGTTGTTGTCTATCTGCCTCACAAATTCCTGTACATGTGTTTGTGTAGAGTTTTGGGTAATAGAGAACTACTGTACTGTTCAGTGATTTTTTTTATATTAAATTTTCACTTTTTGGACAATGATTTTTTAATCTTAATGCACGATTTATTTTTTCAGATGGTTTTACACCTCTGATTTGTTAGCGAGAGAGGCCAGCCTGGATGAGGTACGGAAAGCCAACGCTTACATGATCCTGTATGAAAAGGTGACTTAATGTTGTTAATCTTAACTTATATCAAATACTCCAGTCTGTTAGCTGTACATACTGAACAATTTGTGGGTTGGCTAAGAAGGCTTGTTTTACTGTATGACATACCAGTATGATTATTTTAATCCACCACCTTTCACTCTCTGGTCTTGTTGTTACAGCTTGTACTTTGGTCATAAAATTTGTTTCAACTATCCCGAGAGAAGGTTTACTAGATATGTAATTGTACAAAATCAGTTTGTATACTTATTGTTTATAATGAATAAACTACAGTATCTCCACTAGTCGCTTCAATACTAGACACTACTTTTGATATATTATTTGGCTAACGCCTTGATATTTTATTCAACAGAGAGAGATCCCTTGTACCTGAGGGGTTCATACATTTTCTGAATGCTAATCTGAAAGAAAAACATGTACTGTATATATATATATATATACATATATATGTATGTGATATTTTACTGAGAAGTTTAATGATATTTAGTTTTTAATTTATTTTCTCCAACTCCCTCTCTGTATTGTGGACATGCCTTCCCACATCCTTCACTGGGTAGTATTTACAGAATCTCATCAAATAGCTCTGTTTACCAGCCACTTCATGCATACTCATGTCAAAAAGTCAAAAGCAATGCTCAAGACATGCAAATTTCTTGTAACTTTTATGTCTCAATATGCAGTTTAATATAAAGCAACACAAATAGAAAGAAATTTTGTGTATGGTAGAAGAAAATGGAACAAATTTTTTTTATGAATTTAAGGAATTTCTGTGCTTCAATATCTACTCTTAATGACTCGTATGGTGTTTTAACATTTGTCAACAAAACAGTTAGCAGTTGATGCCACCCAAACATACTTTACCTTATCCTACCAAAATCTAGGGTACAGTAAATAGTATGGTATCTCGGTAAGGTTTAGTTTTCGTTAGGTTGTATGTAAAGTAGTTTGAAGTGGAATGCAAACTATTTAGCTTTGCAATCCTCATCTGGTTACATTAAAACTCTGCCTCATTTAGACTTAACACATGATCCATATGAGTTCATGATTATTTTCCCCTCTGTTTCAGTGTCTTTCCTCACTTATTTTATGTTTACTTGTGCTTTTCTTTGTCTAAATTTGAAGATTAAATGTTGATTTGGGAATCTAAAGACATTGTTTATTTGGAATTTCAATCATCACTTGCCAAAGAATTACAACCGGGACTTGGCCATTAGGTGGAGTGAAGCTTACCGGCACTAGACATACAGTCAACCCTCACTTTACGCAGTTAATTCAACCCACAGGGTACTGCGGAAAGTGAACAACATAACATATGGGATTAATTGAAATAGAGACCGGGCCAACCCCCAAACTCCACTTTTTGACGACACACAACTATGTTGTAGTAAAAATATTATCTTAACTTTATGATGGTATGCACACACAATTAATAATTAAGAGAAATATCAATAATATTAGTTTTTTTAACACTTACATTAGTAGAAAAGATAGCTGGGCACACGGGGATGGGGGGTTGGTTCCGAGGCAGAGGGCAGATTATTGGCCCTCACCTGTATCACTATCCACCACAGAGGCTTGCAGAGCCTCTTTGTCAAACCCCTCAAAGTCCATATAAGTCCATATCCTCACTATAATTATCACTATCACTGACTTGGGCCGGCTGTGGTGGGTGGCGGGTGAAGAACTCGGTAATGTTTTGATGACTGGGCGACCGTGTGGCACCCTGCTCGCACCACTTACACAACATGGCGGATGGCGGGAGGTTTGGATCCAAAAATGGCGCGGCTCGCCAGCCGCTTTCCGCGTAAAGGGGTGCACGCACCGCGGAATGTGAGCATTCCTGTTTCGGCAGGGGACAGCATAAACGTGGAAACGCGGAATGTGGGACCGTGTAAAGCGAGGGTTGACTGTACATGCTTTTAGAAGGCATCTGTCAAACAGGCCGACATTTCCAAAGCAGACCACATGAACCATTTGAACATGTTCAATCTGATCTTAGGATAGGTTTGTTTGCTTGGTTCAAGTCATTGGCTTTAGAAACATGACATCACATACCCAGCTGATGGTCCTCACTGACTGCACTAGTAATTAGAATGTGAGGAATATTTGAGAAATCTATATGCCAATTGAGTCTTGTAACAATATAAATCAGGAGAAAATGAAAGTAAATACTGTACAGTTAAAGATATGAGGTGTAAGAAATGCTGTATATCCTTCAGTAAACGAGTAATTAATGAGCATATATCAAAGTTTCTCAAATAAACAAGTAAGATAGACTAGTATGAGTGATTTTATGTAATGTGGCTAACCCCATCGGTGATAGAAAGGGCAAACTTGTACTTCTTATATGATACAGTGCTTCCATGAATGGCTGGCTTTAGTCAGTCAGTCAACTAATTTTTCTAAATAAATGTAAATAAAATAAAAAATATCATGGTATTTATTTGATATTTTTCTATCTGTGTTTGTGTTAAAAAATAATTCCTCATACTGTATTTAAAATAATGACACATGGAATTTTCTCAGTTGCTGGCTATTCTACATATTCAATTATTGGAGACTTTAAATTAAGGCTCTAAATTTATGCACCAAATGTGAAAGCTTGCTATGTGTTATAAAAGGGAAATGATCACTATGTACTGTATTTTAAAATGGTATTGTACATTTTTTCACATGCAGTTCAGTACTGTACTGTATACGGTATGCAAAAATGTACTGTATGACCTGAATTGGCCAAGTTGTAGGGATCACTAGATTCTTCTACTCATCCCTGAACTATAAACACATGTATGGATTTCCTCTCTGTAACAGGTGATGTAAGAATACTGTACAGCCAACTAGTTCCTGTAATCTGCGACACAATGTCCTAAACGGTGTCGAGACTTCAGTAACTGTATTCTCTTATCGCTGGTTAAAGAGGATAAATTTGACATAGAAACTTTTGTGAATCAGGGCCCATTTACATATTGTACTGTATTGTTTGGGCTACTGGAAATGACTATAAGAGGATACATTGATAACATCTATATGAATTACAAATATCATCTAACACAAATAAATAGCTTCAGTGTAAAAAGACAGTAGTAGTACTGTATTAATTACAACCTTCTATGCTATTGCAAAACTGATCCAGCATGCAGCAAATGGATTAAGTTTAACTAAGAACTCATCTCAAGTGAGTACTCAATGCCTTTATTTCCAGAATTTTATTGATTAAGCAAATATTGGTTTTAAATATCTAGATGTATTTTCAATGTGCCGAAATTGTATTTGAAAAATAAATGTTGATATACCACATGGTATCTGACAAATAAACCAGTTCAGGACCTGATTTTTTGTCATTTCCCCCCAAACAAGGCTGCCATAACATCTTATTGTTTCTTTTTCCACAAAGCTTAAATGAGTATCATTCCTTAACACCTGTGCTAAACATATATAAACTAAGAACAGCTCTATATTCTGTGTTCATACAGATACAGTACATTAATACAAGATATTTTAATCAATAGCAAAAAACAAAATTCTTTATCATAAGCATTCAGTAACAATGTTGGTTTTAAATACTGTACAAAGTAAACCCTTGACAACTTGGGAAATATGGGGCTCTAACCATTTCAAGTTATTAGGTACTTTTATCCCAGTCTTTTGGCCCAATCCAATACCCAAGTTTTTGGCCATAATATCCTCCCAGAATCAGAAACTTGCACATAAATTAACACTTACCAGCACTGCAGGTGAAGGATGGGGATAATTCAAACTTATGGTGCCATGTGGTAGGTGTCAGAGGTGAAGGGAGTTCACTGCACTACAGCACAATTCTGTATTTTAAGCACTTACAGTAGCAACTTAAATATTATTCACAACATGAAAGAATGACGTGGGTTTATTTGCTCCATCCTTTTCGAGATTTTGAATGTCTTTATGAAATCTGACCAATTGTGTCTTTGTCTGAAAGTTGTTAATCCTAAGGCCTTGTCTATTTTCTCTAGTTTCAAGAGATTTATCAAATTTTCTGTATTCTATCTCGTTTTCAATTTTTCTCTGCAAGCTATGAAAGGTAACTACTAGGGTTGGATATAAGGCTCTTATAAGTGTAGGGAAGTGATTCAGTCTGTGTAGGGAAAGCATAAATGATAACAAAATATATATATATATATATGTATATATATACTTGGGACATTTCCAATTATATAATTACAAAGTTATTACAATTTAAAATCTTAAAATGCAAACTTCTCTGGCTTACACAATACTGATGACAACAGCAATGGTTTTAAAAAAATAATTAAGCTAATAATAACTTGAACATTGTGTCTACAAGCTTCACAGAGATGTCTGTAGATAATTAAATATAACACCATCCAAAATATTAATTAACTTAAGCAAAAACTGATGTCAATGATTTTTTATGATTATTTACTGAACAGAATAAGGTTACCTGTAATACTGTACAGTAAAACCTCGATTAACCGTCAATCCCGAAACCCTTTTTTTTTTTACGGGGATTAGCCCACCCGGGCACAGGTCACTGACCCACATCAGGGCCTGGGGGGCGATAATGTAATAATATTAATAATGATAATGCTAATAATAATAGTAATAAAGAACCATAAAGAAATGCAAAAATGAAAAAAAAAAATCAAGTGAGAAACAATGTACCTGTATGTATATTGTGTTGTCAATAGTAAGAGAAACAATTGAGACCCTGCAATTGTGTGTAAATAAGGCAGAAAGTCAGATCAGCAACCTGGGACTTGGGCACAATTTTTGTGATGACATATGTTCTTTGACTTTCCATTTTTTATTCACGGTTTCTGTGCTGGTTCATATTTATTTACTAAAGTAGTTAATGTTTTAAAGCAAATTCTATTGAAATATGAATGGCAAATGAACAAAAATGAATAGAGGGATTTAAATAAGGTAGGTTAGGGAAAGGTACTTTGAAAGTGTATGTATTATTTCCGTAGACTTTATTTAATATGAACCGACCTTTTCGATTATCCGTCGGCCCCTTCCCACCATATGTGGTCGGTTAATGGAGATTTTACTGTACTTTCCAGGTGTCCACATACAGTAAAAGCTTTACTACCCGCCATTTATCTAACTTGAAATCTTTTGTATCTGGAATTTTCAGTACCTTATGCCTGTTGGTACACTACTGGACACTTATGACATAAAATTTATGTAAAAAGAAAATGTTTTTATTCAGTTAATTATTTTTTACAACTACCCTGTATTATTATTTCTCAAAATGTATTACCTAGAACTCTACTTTAGTGTCAACAAAATTTCCAGTAAAACTTCTAAGGGAAACGCTTTTGCTACCAGTGTGTTTTCACAATTGACACCGATTGTGTTAGATAGATACCAGTTAATACAGCTTTTAGTGTACAGTGTCTCAAAAAAGTATCTGTCCACACTGTGTGAAACATTATGAGACCACGGATGATAGATATTGGGACGTGCACATTTACTTTGGTAGTGTATATAGTTTAACATTAAGCAATGAAATGTGTATTTATTTTTACATAATTACCAAATGTAGAAGGATCAGTATGCCATAGTCACAAATACCAACCCTCCGGGGACATCACAAGTGGCATGTAACATTTTGGAAGTCATCGTATATGTATTCTAATACAGTACTGTACAGGTATAGCCTAAAAACAAATGTCATTTAAATTTGGTATGGATTTGTTTTGCATGAATATATAACTGACTAGGAAGTTTAAATTCTTAACATTTCATTCACTCTACTGAATAAAAAAAATTTGTGTATAAAATAAATTTTCAAAATTTTTCTAACAATTGTGCATACCTGTACTATTATATAATTCTGGTTAAATTTTTCATTTCATAAATCACATCACATAACACACTTCATATCCCACAAGAAATTATGGTATGCACAAAGCTATGGATGTTATAAATCTTTGTTTTTCAGTACTGTACATCTAAATTATTTAACAAACTTTAGTTCTCTTACATTTCATGTGCTTTGACAACTCCAAGAATTTAAAACATATATGAATCTAAAAGGAGATAAATATTCCATAAACATTTAAAATCTATGAATATATTAATAAATCATAATCTCTGTTATGTTCCTAATATCCTCTTAACTTAACAACAAAGCACACAAATTCTTAATGCCTCCAAATATGGCACTTTTTACACACATCAACCATTTAAGACAGAAATTATATTCACATACAAGGTGACAAACAAGGAAAATATACTGGATTTATAATGAAATACAGTACTGTATACAGCAATTTCACTCTACAACACCAACAATTTATGAGTTTCAGATGGAAGCACCAAAGCATAAAATT